GCAGGAGGAAACCAGTCCTGGTAAGGGATAGGTTGCAGGGTAGGTAACCAAAGCAGTGACATATTTGATCTCTGCACAATGTTTGCTAAATGCTTATGACTCAATTTATAAATCTTAACAAAACTAAATTTATATATTTTTAAAATTGTAGGTGTTGCATCTTTTCTCTATGTCTGTATCCATCGAGCATCTATAACAAGATATTTCTAGACTTAGTTTTCAGAATTGTTCCTAAAGCAGGAGTGAAATTGAACCATACAAACCTGAAAGGTCTCGGGTTTGATCCCTTGTCTGTACTGAATTAGCTGATCTCAGACAGGGCAGCGCTAAGTGTGCTACAATTGGCCTCATGCCCTAGGCTAAGGAAGAAAAAGGTCAGCCAAAGTTCCAGCGATTCTTGCCAGAAAGTGCAGGTACATGGATTTTGGCTGAGGAGAGCATCGTGCTTGGTAATGATGTCCCCTCCACCCACCCCACAATGGCAATGACTACTGATGGCACCTGTCAAGGATCACAGATGAAGTATTGGACAAGGGTTGGGTGGATCTGCACATCAGCTTGTTCTTTAAGGGGAGGAGAGCAGAAAATTATAGTCAGTGAAAGAATTAACAAATTAAGAATTGAAAAGATACATCAACTGGATATTTCTTTTTAAATGACTGTATTTAGCCTGAGTATAATTCACTATAATATAGTGGGACGTTTGGGCAGTGATATTGCAATACTTTTTCTAGAGTTAAGTTTGAAAGACCAATATTTTGATGTTAAAATGAACAGTTTCATATCATAGAGAAGATACAAACTGTATATAACTCTGAATAATGCAAGATCTAAAAATAAAGTAGCATTAGAATTTTCAATTTATTTCAGTATCTTTCATAACTAGAGACTTTGTTTTAATTTTTTACGTTGATATCCAAATTAAGAATAATTAGGCTTTTAATAGAATATCACTTTCAAAAACATGTGTGGCATGCTTACTTCCTGGAAAAATAACCAAAATCTTCAAATCACTCCTGTAATGATTAGTTATTGCAGTAATTATACAGAGAATAAACAATGCCTGGTATTGACATACAGGACTGCAATACACTAGTGGGCTTCAGATTACGTAATAAAATATGAAAGCCAAGCTCTCACAGTTGCATAAATCCTAGAGTATTTTAAACCTTTGAACATGTTCTCAAGCTTCATTATGTAGAGTCCAGGCTTGTTTACCTTTCCTGACCATCATGGTGTGTAATCTCCATTGCAGTTGCCCACTGCTGCTATTCTGTTTTCCCTGTTTTACTGCGTATCACATTGCAGGTATGGAGTATTTTATCACTTGGTATCTTATCAGGGGCATAATGGAATTAGTTGATAAGAAGTAGATGCCAGGAAGACAGGTCTTCATTGACAAAATCTAAACATCTACAATATATATGAAAAACAGCTTGAGTCAGGTAACTAATACTGAAATTACATTGTGAGGTTACAGTTTACTGACTCTAGAAAGAGTTTGTCATTAATGTCAAATCAATCTGAGACACTATCCGCATGAAGGGCGAGTTATTTGTCTTTGTAAAGCTACAGATTGCATTGCTCTACAGCTTGCAACTGGTGTATTTTTTTTACAGATCAGCATTTTCACTATTCTGCTAGTCTTTGCTATTATTAAAATTACAGTTCAGCAATATTAGTTTTCTTGGCCTAAATCATATGACATGAGCCCTAGATTCTGCCTGTGAATGTCAATGATGACTTACTAAAGGCAGAAACCAAATCAATTTTGATCAATTCTGTTTTTGGAACTGTTTTTCTGTGAACCACCTTACAAGTTTGAATTGATTAATTTCACAGCTAACAATGATTTATACCTATCCAATTTTACAGCTGCCATAATATGCACAGAGCCTATTACTGTTACTATTCATGAAATGTCAATGTAAAAGAGAATTACAGGGCAATGTGACAAGGACACAGCTGTTGCTGTGTAATAAGTTTAGACAGTAAGAAAATAACAGTTGCTAGGACTGCTAAAACAGTCATTTTCACCATCCCAGCTTCTATTCTTGAAATGTTGCACGATCTGAAAAACAAAATAATGGTATGATGTGTAATGTCAGCAATCTTAGAGTAATAGCTTGAAGAAGGTTTATGACTAGGGAGAATTTAATGAGAGTGTGTGAGCTATTTATGTGAGGTAATATATCATGTTTGTTCAGCTGTTCTCATGGTTAACTGCCTTACCAGAAAAATAAGTTTTTTTTAATAAAAAATTCCATCAGTACATTGCGGGAATAAATCCATACTAAATAAAACATAATTATATTAAGGAAATATTATAACTTGAAAACATTCCAGATTTAATGTTTACACCTCAAGAGAATTTGACCATTGCTTTCTTGCAACTAAATGTGGTTGGAAAATTAGACCATATCAAATTCTTCAAATCTGCATGTAAAAGAAGCAAATACAAAGTGAACATAAACAGTTTGGGAATTGTGTTCAGCTGTTGTTTTCATTGTATCTCCGCCAGTAAGTGTTTAGACTGTTTCCTCTGGTTTCCAGATAAAGTGCTTAACAAAAGATTGTATTCACATTTACTTAAAAAACTGGAACAAAACTAATCTTTGAGCTTGAACACAAGTCCTGTCTTAAATGTTGGAGTGACCTTTGCATGCCCATTCCTCTTCCCATCCCCTCCCTCCTCACAAAATAAAATAAATTAAGATATTTCCTGTAGCCAAACATCAAATTTAGATTCTTGAAAGTCTCTTGATATATATAGAATTTCAATCCCATTACTGGATGTAATGAATATAGGGAAACAATTTGTAAAATTGAATGTTGTACATTGTCCTGCACCATTACAAGCTTACTATAGCGACATGTCGTCCGCATTAACAGTAAACGGAAGTCTATGGAGTAAGTGCCAGTGGTACAGACTGTGTTTTTTAAGTTAAACTCAAATCCCCAGGGTATCCCAGTGTATGTTCTTGAAAGTTTTCCCTTTGCCTGTTTTGTTGGTAAAATTTATGATCTGCCCAGCATCAGAGATGCAGCAACAGATTGGCTCAGATAAAAATTGATAGCCTGGAACAACCAAATCTTGTATTTTGATTCTGATTTTACCTTAGTCATGACTCTCCAGATACAAGGAACATTTCATTCTAGATTTCCTGCTGTTGGCAGAAGGCCCCTGACCAGCTGTGTTAAATGTATTTTTACTCTTGTCTCACTGCCAGCTGCTGAGCTCTGTGAAAAATAAAATAAAATTAAACGTTTCAGTCCCAGCTGAACGGTTAAAAGAGATTCAAAAGGAAATTGTAGCCATAGTACCTAATTGCTAACAAACAAATCTGTTTTTGAAGATAGTTTTGTATTTCAAAAGAAAAAGGAGGAGTCGTTCTCAGAAAAACTCCATAGATAGGAAAGTGGAAAGAATGTGAGATCATTAATCTTGTTGGGCATCATCTTGCAGAATTTAAAATTTCCATTTTGGTCCAGACTAGGATCAGCATAAGAATGTTCACACGATACAGGAATTTTTATTATATGACCTCAAATCATTTAAATCACATCATATTGCAAGAATAACATCATTGTTTCCAGGAGTGGTAATGTTTTATATGAATAGCTGGTGCACTGGATAGAAATAGCGTTGTATGCACTGCCTATGGCAGTAGAAAAGGGTAAAAAACAGAATCAACGCAACAGGAAGCACTTAACAGCTTATTTAATACAAGTTTTATTGCATTGTCCATTGCTATAAATGTTATTCCATTAATTATATGTTGCATTACTTTGTGCAAAAGGATGTTTTCGCTATTTAATTCCCATATTTGTCTATCATCCCTTGGGTTCCACAAGGAATATTTCTGCACTTAGCTGTTCTGTATGGTTTAGCATTGTTCTTAGAAGTCTCCTTTTTAGCATTAACAATGTATTAGATTTCCTTCCAAAATAAAATGTGCAAAAAAGAGCATCAGGGTTTAATCTAAATAATCATACATTGTAAAAAAGATCACACAGGATTAATCTATGGGAGATCATTGTAAGAAATATTGTTTTTTGCAATTCGCATTTAATAGAACATAATGTGAGCCAAATTGCTATCCAGTGCATTAATGTGTTATTCATTATATAAACGTTACTACACCATTACTGCAGGGACCAGGAATTTGGCTGATCCTCATTATTTTGATATCAGTGTGCATTTCCAGTGCATAGAAAGACCTTTTCCAGTTTTAGCAGCTGTAACATATTTAAACATTCTTTCTAATGGCATCTAATGATAAATATACCCTGTGGTCTTCTACTGAAGCATTATTGCTGGCACATTGCCATTTTACTGCCAGTAAAGGCTAGTTCATGCCCCTCTGCACATAGAATGCGAATATCTAAGCTGATAATTTTTGTGCCTTAGCAATAAAATATTTACTGGATGACATCTTTAGCTTTTACAAATTAGAAAAAGAAGATTAATGCTTTTTTCAGATGAAATACTGTTTTAATGTGCAGTTATTTATAATTAAACCGCATAACATTGTTTGATTAGAAAATAGATTTTGACTGACTGTTTGAACGCAATGAATATATATTGTATATATAATTGCTTCAGTCTAACTTTAATCCCTGTTAGACACATTAATCACGACAATCCTTGGATACCAAATAAAACTTTACTGCAGTCCCATCTCCTTTCTTAATTATATTTTACTTTCTTCACAAACGATAAAAGGGCTGAAAAGAACCATACAAAATACCTCTTGTGGTCTCAGTTATTGATTTTCACCATCACTTGCTTCCAGTGAGCAGAACCAGGAAACCGCAGAGAATGTAAAGTATTTTACAAGCTCTGCTTAGTCGACGCAGCCTGATGTGTTTTTCTGAAGTAAACCTCCTTCACTTGGCATTGTTTTAGAATAAAGCACAAGAGGCTAATATTAAGGGTGGCCATAATTATTGCAATTTGCATGGACATTATCAACAAGTGTGTTTCATGGTTATTCCAGACTGATCCTGCCGTATGAAAGATACATAAAAGGAGAAGAAGACAAGCCTCTACCGCCAGTTAAGCCTCGAAAACAGGATAACAGCCCCCAGGAGAGTGAAAGTAAAATGAAGGTGGTGGGAACAAAACGCAAAATTGAACAAAACAGAAAAGGCAAGAAAGAAAAAGACGCCACTCAGAAAATCAAGGATTCCTCTGGGGTTAGTAATATTTCCTTTTTGTTCTTTAAAACTGTTTAACGGGTCCGTGCAGTAAAATTGTTAGTAAGTATGAGTTTCGTTCCTTGAAAAAAAAGCTGAATGTTGCTGTGATTAGGGCTGTGGGAAATAAAAGTTACTTAATGGAACATTAGATTTTTAACAACTCATGATTTTGAGCCTATTTAACTCGTAAGCTGTTAAGTTATGTCATCAGTTGTGAAAATGTTATCTGAGTCTCCACTGATTATTCTGATTTTACAACAAAAGTACTGAGAAATGGAATAATATTTGCATGGTAATATTAATTCACCATTTATCTTCCCAATGATTAAAAGAAATATAAGGACACCTCATGCTCTACCTCCAATTGCCCACGCCATCACAGTGCCACAGTTTGATAAATGTCTCTGTTGTGTAATTTTATACTTGTTATTGCCATGGACTAATGCCATGTTTCAAGTAACTTTGTGAGAGTTTGTTTTGCATTGGTGATTTCGGGTTAACTTCACTTTATAATATTCAAAGAGTACCTGGTCTCATCAAAATTAATGTTGGGGGGAAGCAATAGTTTCAGCAATCTTCATCATTCCAATTCAAAACAGCTCATTTGAAAGTCTATGGCATGCAAACAACATGAAGTAATTTAATTTAGTTAGGCTGCACCTAAGAGCAGAATGTTTATTTAGTTATCCGATCCTCCTGATTACCTTCTGTCTTTCATTCTCCGACAACATGAATGGATGAGAAGCTATTCCTGGGGCAGAGGGTTGGAGGGAGGTTGTGTGGGTCCAGAGGAATTGCACAACAAATAATTGCTCTTTGAACTAATGGGATGCTCCCACCTAGTGGTTTAGCTAAGAGCTGACAAAGGTTCATTAGTGGGCCTGAATGTTCTGATGAATTTAAACTTTGGATTCACACAGTTCAGATGTCAGGTGTCAATTGATGTTATCTGGCACACAAGCTTCCTGTAGAAACAAACTGCCAATGTCTTGGACTAATCGCTAACACTACCATCAGGGAATAAATGTGTTTCCTCCCTCCAATATGTTGCCAAGGATTCAGATGCATATCCAGCAATTAGACCATCAGAAATCAAAGGCATTTCCTCATTTGCCAGTGGACTTTCAGGGAAAATGTCACAAACCATTGAAACATAACCCTCACATCACCGTACTACTGAAGCTGATTTTTCATGCCTATAAAATTCAGGCCACTGAACAAGGCATCCTAGACTTGTACAGGACATTGATCCTCCACCTCCCCGCCACATACACTTCTAGTGGCATGCAACCATCAATCAGATGGATATTCAAGACATCCCATGATTACAAATATATTATTCGCCCCCAAGTATTTAATGAATACCCAACACATGGTGCCAGGGAGATTCGGATGAAAAGACCCCTGAACCTGTGTCCTCTTTCTGCTATTTTGGCACATCTGAAAGTTTTGTTCTGGGTTTATTTTTCAACCTCATTTAAAATCTTATACTATAAGGTTCCCGCTGAGATATCTCTTTTCTAGCCTGAAGAGCCCCAAACTATCTAATAGTTGCTTGTTCCTTATTTCTCAAATACTGGAGATAATTCTTGTTGGTTTCCTATGTATTGTCTCCAGAGCCTGGACAGCCTCCTTATGTTGCACCAACAAGAGCTGTACACAGTATTCTAGCTGCAGTTTATCTAGAGTGCTGCACAGTTTGACTATGACTTATGTGGATCTAAACTCAATTGACTTGGTAATATTGCCCAGCATCCTGTTGCCTTGTATTTTGCTGCCTCACACTGTTTTGGTGCAGAATGGGAAAAGTTCTGTCCCAGCCATGGAGTACATGTGCTTCCCATTTTTACTTTCTATATTCAATACGTTGCTTTGATCTGTATTGAATTTCATTTGCCATTCATCAGCCGATGTGCACACCCAATCAAGCTATCCTATATCTCCTCTGATTCCAGTTCACCCAAATTGGGCCATATCAATGTCATGACCTTGATGCCCAGCGACATCAGTTGGAGAACGACTCTTTCACATGGGGCATGGAATTATATAAATATAATTTGTTCTTGTTGTCAAATGCCTTTTGGAAATCTAGATTTACTAGATCATAATGCTTCCCAAGGTCACCCCTCTTCCCAGATTGTAAGTAGTCTTCTCTTTCCCTATAAAGCTGTTTGAAATTGTATGCAATCCTCCTCCCTATATCACAAATTGAAAAAATAGTAAAACAACTAGTTTTAACAGTGGCCGTACCAATACATACTAATTGCTAAACATGCTGCTGCATATATGTAAAGGAACTCCCCTCTCCACAAACATACAGAGGAACACTTCTGCCAAACGTAAAATAAGACAACTACCTGTCCTCCACTTTGTGCTTTAAATATGATTCAGTGCTCACCTCTTTACTCTGTCCACAATAAGAGCTTAAATCCAATACATGACAATATGAATAAAACCAACTGCTATGTACTTGGGCAACACCTGGAATGATTCTATATATGTGTAATACATATATTTAGTGTGTCCAAATTTATGTAGTATACATACACACACACACACATTATCAATCAGTCTGGATTTATTCATGTTAAACACTAGCTCCTGTTTAAACAGAGGTGAATGTTGTATCAATTTCAGTTAATTCATATCAGATCCAGAGAGAGCTTTTTCCGGAGGTGACTATTTAACAGTGCAGAATACATTTGACTCTTCTGTGGTTTGCTCATCTGTCTGGTATTTTTCATGCAATTTCATAGGCCCAAGAGAATGTGAATAATATTCTGGAGAAGACTGGAATAATCACATTTTAACCGAAATCTACCCTTTTATGTCGTTTAAAATTGGTTGAAAGAGTCCTTGAAACTTAGACTGATGTAAAGTCAAAATCTTAGAATTGCTCTTCTTCAATTATATAATTTAGATTTTACTTCAACGCTTTAGTAATGGGCACTTAAGAAGTAAATTGAGATTTCACAAAAGTGGGTCCGCTATTTTAAGGATACAGTTTTATTCTGAGAAGACCAAGTAACTTTATTGTAGTAGTAAGAGGATACATACATGTTCCAGAAACAGTAGAGTACTAATAACAACCACTTCCCTTTGTCAAAAAGGAAAAAATGTACTAATAAGACTTCAATATTTTCCAGAAGGAAACTCCATTAAAATAAATTTTGCTGTCCAAATCTTAATGGAGCTTTTATCTTTTTACCATTCACTGAGTATTTTAGAATCCTAATACATTGAAATACTTGGCTTCCAATATTCTTCAGCAAAGAATTATTTTACACAAATTAAGCTACTCCTAAAGGGGATGAAATGCAGTTTTAGTCTGTTACAGACGTATTGTAGAAACCTGTGCCGGTCTGGTGGGGTGGTGTGCTGGTATTGTACACTGAACCTCAGCTGAACAGAATCGGTGATCCCTTTGCGATTCCACATGCAGACAGTCCAGGTAAAGGATTCACAAGTGACTTTATCAGGAGATATTAAGGAAAATTCAAGGCTGTAGTTGACATTTACACTCTGACACAGCGCAGTAACAGAATGGTGTGTGCCTCAAGGGAAATGGAAAATATATGGAGAAAAATGTACAACTGGAGTTACAAACTAGATTTAGAGATATATTTCAGTTGAGATTTACAGCTAAAAATGAGGATTCTCTGAATGTGCCACTAATCATGACAATTTACTTAGAGGAAAATGAAATCCTTGGACAATGCTGCCATTTAGAGTGAATAAAGGCATGTTGCAACAGACTGACAACAAACTTAAAAAGGCCTGTCAGTCAATACTGATACAGATAGAGAGTTGCTCTGACCTCTAGGGTCAGAGTTCAATATTCAACATAGTGGTATCAATGGGGATAATTATGCTCACAAGTCATATTGCTAGAAATCTGAATTACACTCTGCACAGTCGAATCACTGTGGAAAATGTTACACATAAACAGCAATGTTGTGCAATTAATTTAGGATTCTCTGGCACAACACTATGTGATTTTAAAACTTTTGCATTCAAAGTTTTAGTTAGTTACTTTGTAGTTATTGAAATAATGTTGGTATTAATTTAAGATGATTCAATTTATTTAGAATTTGGTCTATTCTCATTACCTAATGAATGAGAATGACTTGCACCAGGGGTGTAGTACACTTGGGGGGAATCAATCTGAAGTTATTTATAAAGTCATGTTAGGCCACAGATTGTTACATCAAGCAACACACAATCCTAGCCATCTTTTAGAAAAACAATGGATCAATGCTCACTTTTATTCATTAGATGGCTTTCCTGTCTGGCTTTGTATTTTCTGCTGTTACCACCAACGGCCATTGCAGCTGCCAAGTATTTCGATGTGGTTTTATGTCAGGTGACAGGAAAAAAAAAGGGTTTTACAAGAAAAGTAAATGTGTGGTATCATCAAGTAAACTGTTTTATTTTTTAAAAAAAATACTGAGTTTTACTAGTTTCCTTTTTGGCATGTATATTGACCACAGATATTGCTTCTGTTTCATTAAACCAAGTATCAGAATCAGATACCAGAGTAGTTTGTTTTTCCAGGATTTTTCATGAATGCGTTAATTCAATAGGGACTTATTCCAGTGGAAGATCATAATGTTAACCTAACCTCATCTTATTCTCAGTACAGGTTCTTTTCCTGTTTAAAAAGAGTCCTGAATCATATCCTTTCTTGCTTTCTATAATAATAGCTCATGTTATTAGGCATTGATGTTTTTTTCATTGCAAGACTTTCCTACAGTGAACATTTAAATTAGTTGAACAGATCAAAAAAACATTGTAAGGAGAGCTGGGAAGCTTGCCAGGAATCTTAACGTCTGGTTTTATGCGGTTTCAGTTAGATTATCTGCTGCAAGATGCATAATCTCTTGCTATATAAGAATGGATTTTAAAAAAAGGTTTAACATTTTAAGAACTCTGATGATTTTAATATCATTCATGTATGGTTTGATAAACAAGGTTTTAGTCTTATTTGAGTGCAGTATTTCTGGGTAATAAAATTGAGAATGCTGAATAGCTGGAGGGGATCACAAGCAAGAGTCTAACCAAATGGTTCAGATTAAGTCATAAATTAAGAGAGCAAAGCTCAGGTGGTTTGTAACCATCGTCTAACTCTAAGATTAGATAACAGTTTGGGATAATTTCCCACTATAATTTGGTGTTTTAAAAATTAATCCTTAAGTTTGTAATTTTATGTGAAGATATGATTCTGTTTGAATCACTGTTTTATATTAGCAAAAACAGTTAACACTACATTAGATATTAATAAAAAACTATATGTCTTATACTGTTTACACTTCACAATCACTTGCTACAATCAAGGGACTTGGGAATAATGGTTGACTTATCGATTTCAATGGCAGCACAATTTGGTGAACCAGTTCAAAAGCAAACAGAATATAGCCTTCACAGAACACACGTCTCCAGGGTTTATGTGGTGTTCTACAAAGCACTGCTTTAACCACACTTGCAGTAATATACTGTGTTCACTTCTGGTCACCATGAAACAAAACATATACAAGTTCAAGAAGCTTAATCCCTAGTTCAGAAAGAAGGCAGTTTAAGGGGGAGGACATTGAGGTATATAAATTCTTAAATAGCATTTTGGTAAAAGTGGAATAGTTCCAGGAAAATAGGAATATGGGACATGCATTTAGAATATTTAGAACGCTTTTTTTCAAACGTTTGGAACAATCTGCACAGTGGGAAAACAGAGGCAAAAATAATAAGTCACTTAAAAAGAAAATGCACTGGGTAAGAGGATAGAAGAAAAAAGGCTTTGGTGGGTAGATGGTCTCTTCTCACCCATTGGAATCATGTTTTTATGAGTGAGGAATAACAAATATGCACTTTTCCATTGTAATTGAGTTGGTGATAAAATAATTACATAATTATAAAAAAAGCAGACTGCCTGGCACAAAGAAAACAGCTGTTCAATGTGGTAAACATTAAAAGTTATCTTCCTGACTATTGCAGCAAATGAATGAGAAGAATACACATGACACAGAAAGCAAAAATGTTTAATGTCTGATCAATGAAAGCCTTAATTTATATTTGCATGTGCTCTAACAAAGTAGTACAGAAATACCAATCAATCTTTTAATTTTGTTGTTGTTGTTTGCCAAGGCCACACACATCCGGCAGCCTGACTACTCCAAATCTGCCAAAACCCCTGTGAGCTAGTCGCTGGGAAACAACCCATGGACATAGTCTCTTCCAATTTTCTCTTCCCAACCTAATGAGTAGGGTTATCCTCTGCTTGGCAACTCTTAACAACAGTGCATCTAAGATTGTGGGTGGATCAAGCTCATCTCCCAAAAATGCCAGTAATGCACTGCTCTCAAATTTCAATACTGAATACATCTCAAATATAAGACTTGTTCATATAATTATTTTAATGCCACGATTTAATGACTTTATTGTAAAAGTGCCAATGGTTAAATAGTATAGTATAATGAAAATGTCTCACTTTACATTTAATCTGCTGAATTTGAATAGGTCTACAATTCAGCAGTTGGCTAAGCCTGGATACCCATGTAATTAGAAGCAATTGTCAAATGTCAGTCCAGATTTGTCATTATTGTGAAGATTATAATATGGATATTTGCCAAGATTAACAGTTGTGTTCTTTCTTTTTTTAAATCAGGTGACTTTAGCTAAAGAAGGCAGCCAAGAGATTGATAGTCCTAAACATGGTGTGGCTTCAACACAGGAAATGGCAGTGGACCAGTTGCAAAAGGAAACAGAAGGACAACAGTGCCACATCTCAGCAGATGGGCCAGATGTGAAAGGAAGCAGACTTGAAGAAAAAATGGCTTCTTTGACCAACAAAGCCAGTAATGATAAATCAAAAGAAAAAGAAGCTCAACAGCTATTTTTGCCTCCAGGCCCCACAATCCATTCAGGAGATGTTAACACACAAAACGCAAGTGAGGGACAGCCTAGTCTAGAAACGGAAATCACTACAACAACCTGCCAGGAAATTAAATCACCAAAAAATGCAACTGAGACACTTGGAGATGAACTTCAACAAAACTCTACCAACATTGATACAGCTGAAACATATGCCCATGTATCAACTAAAAATAATGGTCTCGATCAGGGATCAGGTGAAACAACAGAATATATTGCAAACTGCTCCATTAAGGTTGATCAATCGCCAAAAGAGGAATTGGAAACCCAGGTTGGGAACAACCAGTTACAAAATGCACATAGACAGCAACAGGTACAGACAGCAAGGATTGCCACAAATCCTTCTCCAGAAGTGAATACAGAAAAACAGGAGTTTATTTCAGTAAAAAACGAACCTTCCCCAAGCTACATGCCATTGGTATACTCCAGAGGAAACCCTGGGATCATGTCACCACTGGCCAAGAAAAAGTTATTATCACAGGTCAGTGGAGCTTTGCCCAATAATTATTCTCTTGGAACTCCGCCACCATTAATTAGCAGTAAAAAAATTGTCGATAGTGGAGAGGAAATGGTTACAACGGAAGCAAATTTTTTACAAGGCTCTTCATCAGATACCATGACCATTAACAGACCTTCTGTGATTCAGCATGCACATAGTTTTCAGAAAAGACATACTGATGAGAGAAAATCTTCAAGTGAAGCATTTCAACATGACGGTTTAAATAAATTGTCAGATTCAGAGTCTGGTTATCTCTCAAATCATCATTTTAATTCCCTAGACTCATATAAAAGCAGTGTTCCCTACCCATTCTATTCTGAATCTCAGGACAATGAAAGTTGTGAGAGAAGATTACCCCAACCGTCACATGTATCTAGCTTTCTAGCCGACTTTTACTCCTCCCCTCATCTGCACAGTCTTTACAGACATACAGAACACCACCTTAATAATGATCAAACATCAAAATATCTTAGCAATATCCAAAAAGATAAGAGTTCCTCATTTGTACAACATAAAAACCAGGAAAAGATGTATTTAAATTATCTTTCAACTTTGCATCAACAAGAAAAGAGATGCCAACTGAAACCTCCCACTGATGACCAGCCAACTGACTTGAGTCTTCCGAAGCTGAAGAAAACAATATCTAAGAACTTCGTAAACAATACCCCTTATTTATCAATACACCCAGAAAATAAACACACATCAGCAAGTAGACTAGTATCAAACAGTGACTGCAAACCTAAGTCTTGCCGTGTTCCTCCAATGACAATCTCAACCAATAAGAAAACCAGTGAACAAACTGTGCAGCTTTCTGGAAAGTTGGAAGAAGTGGTCAGACCAATAATGAGTTCCAAAGGTAGTTCGCAAATTATCGGGACCACCAAACCTATCAAAAGGAATCGTGAGGATTTCGATAATGGTAACAATGAAAGCCCTGAGAGAAAGTTACGAGCAGTATCACCGTTACTTTCATCAAAAGACAAGGCTCTGAAAGAAAAAGCATCTGACCTAGAGGGTGAATGCAGTAAAATGTTGCCCTCTGGCAGTATATTAGAAGGCCACAAGTTCCCAATGCCAACTCCTATTTTCCCAGGATTGTATCCTGGAGCTTTTGTGTCTCAGGTCCAAGATATGTGTGATGGTCTAGGTTCACGGTTTCCAGCTGGATACGCTCATCCCTTACAGTACTTGAAAAACCAGGCAGTGCTGTCACCTCTCATGCAACCACTTGCTATCCATTCCTTTATGATACCAGCAATGCAGAGACAGATCCTTGCTTCTGGCACAAATCCACAGCTCTATAGACATTTGTCTGCAGCTGCAACACCAGTAGCTGCTTCATATGGAGATCTTTTGCATCACAGTCTCTATCCTCTAGCTGCTTTGAACCCACAAGCTGCATATTCCTCCTCTCAGGTGTCTTCTGTACACCCTAGCACAAAACTATAATTTCCTTACTTTTTAATGTTGCTGCCTGAAAGCAGAACTGAATTCTGAAGGTATAGCAACAGTCGGACATTCCACAATGCATAGTAAAAGTCTTTAAATAATCACAAGCTACACATAATTGGTTTGTAAACCTTTTGCACTTATTTGGTGATGTTATATATCATTTGACTTTAGTGCATTCAATGCATAGTAATGACAATTTTTCTGTATATAATAATGACTGCATCACAACACTATCACGATTGCAGCATCAACACATTAAATTGACTGTAAATATTCACTACAAAAGTTTACATAGCTACATCCTTAATTTATACAATTGTAGTTCAGTTTTAGTTTCAGCTTTATTTTATTTTTGGTGGTGGGGGGTTGTTTTCAGTAGTCTAAAATGATGGATGTGTACTTATTGTGTGCTTACTCCAGAGCAGGATAGACATAATAACTACAGGAAGTCCATCTGAACTTGTAAATGTCTGTTTGGATTCTTTTGAATCCTTCTGTAGATCCCATGTGGTGATTAATTTCTACACTATGTAATAGTGCACCATTGTTTTCCACTGATTCCTATGTATTTGGTATGTCTGCCATCTACGTTATTGTTAGGAGCTTGTCATTCACAATGATAAAACAATAATTGTTTACAAAGGGTAAAATGACTGTAATTCAAGAAACACTTAACTCAGCTTTATTAATACTTCAAAGTAAATGTAAATATTCAAATTAAATTTCTTTCTGGATATAGTTAAATAACTTAAATGGCGTCATGGCAAAGTTTTAAGCCCACTGCCATAAGCAGCTACTAATTATACAAGCTGATTATTTGTTTCTTGCTTTGTATATAAAATGCAAGCACATGATATGCTAGCTGTTGTCTGCAATTGCTATATTCCAGAAAAAGATGGTAAAAATTTTACATTTAGATCTTGGCTGAATCATGCCTATCTTGTGTTAAATGTTACTAAAGCATAGCTGCTGGGGCTCTTTCTGTGGTTGTGCATATAGTTGTAGCTAATCAATCCTTCACAATATTTGAATCTAAATCTCTAATGTAAACAAAGCAGATTTTAAAAAGAATTAAAGTGAAGATGGATAACAACATCAAAAAATCGACATCAACGTGGCATTTGTTGCCATTTTGTAGCTTTTGTAATAAAACCCATCCAGTTGATCTCTTTTGTAATAAAAGCCCTCCAGTCTATCTCTTTTGTCTCTGCAGCTGTCAGTGAAACATAATAAGATTTGTGCTGAAATGCAGTTCTGGCTTTTTATTTAACTTCTGGGTTTGGCCTCCAATCAATGGCAGCCTTTTGTTTTTCATTTAGAGCTTGGAAAATGTCACTTTGTGTTTAAAAGTGCTCTCATGCTAAGTAAATTAAACATAGGCAATACTTCCAAAGAAAGTCTTTTTTAAACTTATTCAAACATTTGCTTTCCGAGAACTTAACATTTGGTTGCAATAATTTCTTTTCAGTTCTACACTAAACATGTTTAACTGATGCTTCAGTATTACATATGGCTTTTTGGCAACCACACTGCTAAATCAAGAACTAGCTGTGCCTTTTCATTTTAACAACACATTAAAACTTCAGTACTTAACCACATATGTTTGTCAATGTTATACCATGGTCACATCTGGTCTAGCTTTAAAAAGAGTATTATGGTCATAATAAGTATTGTGAAATCAGGATATATTATTTTTGTTGGTTTCCGTACATGTGATTAAATGGGCACTTATGAGATTATTTGTTTGATTGTAGTTATTATTTACTGAAATGTTTGTTCCAAAGTGGTTGTTTTTCACAAGGACACATTGCTTAATATTTTCAGTGTATGAATCTTATCAGCAAGATATTTATACTGACACATTCATATTATAATTTGTACTTTGTAAATAATGACACTTTGCATTTTTAGTTATTTAGCACATTTTTTTCTGTATGGTGATTATTTGTATATAGTAAAAAGTAAAGACTAGTAACATTAAGATAAGTCCTGATAGTTTAAGGTTATTGAGTAACCTTTACATTAGGCTAAAACTTTCAATCTAATGTTGCTGAGCCAACTGTAAACACTAAGTTTTTGTATGTTCTTAAAGTGTACTTCTTGGCAAATGCTTTTGATACTTTGTGCCAATAGTTTATCAATCACATAGCTGGCAAAATATTTTGTACTTTCTGATTCACTGTTATATTTAATAAAGTTTTACTACTTAACATTTCTGCGTTTTCTTAAGAAGCAAGTTACTTCATTTTTAGAGGTTAAGAGCTTTTTTTACGGAAAATAACTTTCATCAGCAAACGTGCTCAGCACATAAGCAGGAACCTCGTCTTCTGCAACGCATGGAATTACTGTAATGCAAATTAGATACAGACGGGATCAGAAGAGGTGCACTTTAATCAGGCAGTTACAACCACACGTCTTGTTTCACTGCAATGTGGTTTCGACATTACAGCCATGCAAAATATTGCAGTCTAACTAACTAAAGCCAAACTGGTGTCATTCCAAGATTTGCTATCAGGTCAAAAATGGCCCAATTTTGCACTGGTTGGAGTATAACTAGCACAAGGTCAGCCATTTGTCTAAATCTTTCAGATTTATACAGCACCAATGCAGCCAGCTGGTCACAGAAAGCACCACAGCACCATTGTACATTCTCTAAAGTTAAACATCTCACCACCTTTGAATAGCAGTAGCAGAATTCTGTGCATGTGTTTTAAGAATTCACGTGCAGAACGGTTCTTAAATGATACCAGTGCAAAACCATACAATGATGTCACGAGTGGGGTCTCAAAATGAGCAGCCTAAATAATGAAAGTAATAAAATACTCAGTCGAATCAAGAGCAGTATAACCTTCCATTTTTCAGCACTGACATTGCTCATATGAACTCCTTCAAAAATATAAACTACAGAAATTGACCATGAAAAATGTCTGGCACAACAAATCATGCTTTTTCTAAAAAAAAAGTACCAGATTGTTCTAGAAAACAATGAAGCCCAGCTCAGCCAAAGCTGCCCACTGAAATGTTCCATAGAGATCCCTTTCACTGATGTCATCAGAACACGTCCACTTATGTTCACATCAATGAAATGATATCTCTGAGCTCTAGAAATGGGTCCATTATTTTCAAATCACATTGATACAATTGTAGAGTAGATTGTGCTGAAAAGTCCTTAATGCACCGTGCTCAGACATCAGATAACAACTGGGTTATTAAGAACCTGTTTTGAAGTGGAATAAATTAGCTGTTCTTTATAAGTGTATATACAAATATATGTATATATAAATGCCTCGCTCCCCTCCTTAGCCTTCTTCAAGTCCCGCCTCAAGACCCTCTTCTTCGACCATGCCATCGGCCACCCCCCTGCCCCTCCCCCCCGACCTCAGCTTGGGTCTGAAATGCTGTACTCAGTCCAGCGCCTTGGGATGTCCCCCCGACGTGAAAGGCGCTATACAAATGTAATCTTGTTGTTGTATTTCCTCCCAGAATGTGTGATGTTAATTTTCTAAAGAAGAATTTATTTATTTTGTATTTAGCTCTTTTGTGTGTTTACATGTAATATGTATTACAGGAAGAGATGGAAGTTTAATACTCCCCATTATCTCATGTAAGATTCCTCTGTTTAGAAGACCAGCTACTTTCTAGCGGTATGCAAATTGGCTGAAGTGTTCTCATACAAAATACACAATTTACAATAATAAATAATAATAATCCTTGCATTTGATAGAGCGCTTTTCACGTCTTCTCGACGTCTCAAAGCGCCTCACAGAATAGACTGTAAAGTGAATTGACCGTATATTTGTGGGCGAAACTCAACAGCCAATTGCGCACAGCAGTGTCCCACAAAGTCGTGGATTGAAAATGACCAATTTATTATTGTTTTGCTTTGGAGGGATTATTATTATTACACTTTAGTGTAAATTCTGTGAAGCACAGTAAGATGCCCTCCCAGTGTGAAAGACTACATCAAATATCTGGAATATCATATTATTATTATTTTCTACAAATATAAAATGTTCTGCAGTATCCCTTATTAAAAAAAGTATAAAAAACACTGGATTTGAATCCATTAATCCCCTTGTGAGAAGCTTCCATTTTAATATAAGAAGTTAGATAATAATAATGTTGCAAATCAACTATAAAACAAAGGATCAAATATAAGTATTATTTTTCCTAACATTGATGATTACATTTACTGTTCCCTGAAGTAACATATATACATTGTGACAGGTTGGCTCGATTGGTAACACTTGCTTCGAAGTCAGGAGGTTGTGGCCCAAACCAAACATCAGGAGCTGGAACTCATATAGTCTAAGATAACACTCCAATGCAGTGCTGGGGGTGTGCTGTATTGTAGAAAGTGGAGTCCTGTAGCTCAGTGGTTAGAGTACTCGCTTTGCAAGTGAGAGACCTGAGTTCAATTCCACACAGGGTGAAACCTGGGGCAAGTTTCCTTACTCCACACGCCAAATAATAATCCCTCCAAAACCAAAAACAATAATAAATTGGTCATTTTCAATCTACGACTGTTTGTGGGACATTGCTGTGCGCAATTGGCTGCCGCGTTCGCCCACAAATATAGTCAATTCACTTTAGTGTGTTCTGTGAAGCGCTTTGGGACGTCCTCCTGATGTAAAAAGCGCTATATCAAATGCAAGGATTATTATTATTTAAGTGCTATCCTTTATATGAGACATTAAACCGAATCCCCATCTGCCCCTCTCTGCCTGTTTGGAGAGATTTTAAAGATCCTATAGCACTACATGAAAAGGAAAGGAAGTTTCTTTCAATTCCCCAGATAAAATTGGTCATTCATTTCATGGCTGTTTGTGAGACATTGCTGTGTGCAGAATTGGCTGCTGCATGCGCCCCCAAAACATATTTTACAGTATAACCTATGAAACACATTGGGACATCTTACTGATGTGAAAGGCAATATACCAAATGTAAGGATTATTATTAATAATGCAGTGTTCTATTCATTACAGAGTCTTCAGTTACATCATATCTTGGGGCTGCTAATGCAGTTTAAGATAATCACCAAGGTAAAGTTATCCTGGTCATGTAACTCCCAGATGTTGCATACTCTGCCCTTCCCCCCAATGCTTTATGTAGGAAATGTTCACTGTGGAAAGATTCACTTACATCCTCCAGTTACAACAGTCCTATAATCCGGCATAGTTACCATACCTTCCAGAGGGAAAAGGAACACTAGCTAAAGTTGTAGCTAAAACTAAAATCTAGCTGAAGCTGGGATTCTTGTAGCTCAATGGTTAGAGCACTTGCCTCGCAAGCGAGGGACCTGGGTTCAATTCTCAGCAGGGTGAAACCTTGGGCAAGTTTCTTTACTCCACACGCCTGATAGTAATCCCTCAAGAAAAAAAAACAATAATAAATTGGTCACTTCAATCCACAACTGTTTGTGGGACACTGCTGTGCTTCGACCACAAATACAATCAATTCACTTTACAGTGCCTTCTGTGAAGCACTTTGAGAAGGCCAGAAGACATGAAAAGCACTATATCAAATGCAAGGATTATTTTTATTCTAACTAGTTGACTATACTGTTTATCTTTTCTGAACTCTGCTTACTACTAAAGAACATTCCATCTTGCCATGAATAATTCCCAGTATGTCCCAAATGACTTGTATTTTAACAGAGCACAGAGTGGATACTGGCATGACTGACCTAGATTCTGTCTACTTAGTCTGAGTGATTTAACTACACCGTGCAGTCCCACTTTATAGGGGAAAAATCTATTTCATTGATATACAAACCACTTTCCCTGTCTATGTCGGTTTGTCATATTTTCTTTCTGTTCTCCACCTTTGTTACACCATAATAATGAAATATTCAACACACAATTACTTTAATATGAATTTTCTAATTCCTCGTTGGTAATTTATTTAACATTGACCGTGTTCTTCAGATTGGATTTTTTCAAGACAAGAGGGATTATTGCCATGGGTATTTAAAAATGACTGTAGTAAAACAGTGGTATAGTATAATGTCTCCCCCACCCCCCACTTGTAATTAAGGACTTTTTACTAATTTGCAGTGCAGAAATTTAAAATAAATACAAGTGTTGTCTTCCTGTATTCAGGCCTGCTCGGAGAATAAATCAGATATGCCATGTTCATCATTTATCACTGTGCAAATACAGACTATGTAATAGTAGTGAGTGGGCTGTTACAATGAAAGTAGGTCCAACTCTCCAATGCACATCTATCATTAACATACCCTACAAAATTAAAGTAGCTAGTACCAATTAATTGAAACAGATGTTGCTTAATTATGCTAAATATTATATCAACCATTTAGCTTATTAAGTTTTTTTTAGTTTTAGAATCTATTATTGTATATATGCTATTTTTAGACCATAATACATTCCCGGAATGTATTTCACGCCTTGGGATGTCCTCCCAACGTGAAAGGCGCTACATAAATGTAATTTTATTGTTGTTGAATGCACATTTACCTACTTTGGATGAATAGTTCACGCTTCTTAAAATACCAGTTTGTTCTCTGAGGTTTACAGGATTATACACTTTTTGCAATATATAGTATATTAGGATTATACACTTCTTGCAAATTATAATATTGTAGTTCAGGACATGGCGCTTTATATACCTTTAGGTTCACATGCCTTCAATATTCTGGACAAATCTAAATAGCAGAATGTAGTGATTAGAGATAGAAGCTTGAATAGCACAAAGAACACCAAGAGCATGGGTATATCAAATACGGATTTGTCTCTAGGCCTGTTCTAAGTTAGTTGGCACGAGGGTGAGGTCTATCAACACCTTTCCAATAGAAGCATTGCATCATTAGCTATGGAGAAGCTTTCACAGTGGATTTTGAATTGCATATTTACATTCTCACTGGGAAGTGTCAAGAAATCCCTAGAATGACAGGTTGAAGCAGTCTGCTAATGGCTCATCTTGTTCACAAGATGTTTATCTTCACAGTCTGGCTTGAAACCTTCTCAAGTAAAAACTGATGGTGTATAACATTCAGCAAGCACTATAGAGCACTTATAACATGCATCCCTAGATTTATAAAATGTGCAAGTCAGTGTGGTAGAAAAGGCACTGTTTGTTGCAGTTACGCTCATACACATTTAAAGAAAAACAGTGCCACAATTGAGAAACATAAATGTTAACGTTTTTAAAACTAAAACTTCTTTGAGAATACAGGACACTGTTCCTGTATGTTTGATTTGCTTTGAGATAAATGCTGGTGTTAAAGCTAATAACACTGTTTAATTGAAAGTTACAGTTCTATTGCTGGAGGTTCAGCAAACTAGTGAACAAAGTGCTGCAACTCGCACTGGAAAAACTGAATTGAATAGTCGTAAAGTCAGTTTTGGAACCTCTTAATATTATCTCTGCCTGAAGGGAGAAAGAATTAATTGTTTTCATCTGTCTCTAAACATATGAAGAAACCTTTTGCAGATTTCAACTGAACTCTGCTTGACGTTGGATCAGATTTTACAGCACCATAATAAACAATATCTTTACAAAATACTGATACTTTGGAAGTACAGAATCACCTTCCTCCCGCACTTAATATCCAGTGTTAAAAAGGCCAAAGAATAAGGGGTATGCTTGTGTCAGTTATCTATTAGTAAATTATAAACAATGCAATGTTCTAACTTGACAAACTCATAAATATAGCAATTATTGCTCTAATTGTAAAAGCATTTTTTGTGAAGATTTCTGCATCAATCATCGGCACATAGCAGAAATTAGCATAATACAATAACAGGATTTGGTTGGTAGCCATTAAAACTTGTAATAGTGCAAAGCTTTCCAATGCTGCATTTCAATGGGCAGTGGGGTTGGTCAATAGCAAGCCCAGTAATAATAAAACATGAATATTAACAAATGGATTTTAAGGATCAAACTGTAAAGAGCTATAGATAACAGCAAAACAGGCACCCGACAGGCCATTTGAAATGCAACCAAAATGTGAAGCTGAAACAAAAAACATTTCTGATTCCCACTGTTCCCAGAGGATTTCTTGTAGTGCACATGAGTGGCCCCAGAATAATTCTAAATTTCATTACATGTACTCTGAAATGCAACCACAGAGTCTCTTGGCTCAGCAACAAAATCAATACTTATGACTCATTAAAAAAACACACTGAAATAGTCATCACAGCGGTTAGGAGAAATTGTGTCCCGTTTTATCAGGATGTAATCTACTTTGAAGTTGTGCGCATGCTTTGAATGAAACATACTCTCCACTGATATTTCCCTCCCCTAAGTGACCAGAAACTCCAGCACAGCTATAATCAGATCATACTTTAATAGCTTAGTTAATGTTTTTTTGCAGTAGTTTTGTAAACCAATAGAAAGTGGTAGCTGATTTGCCTTTTTTTTTTTTTGCAAATCGCAAAAAACTGTCAGAAACATTATCAATCCCAACAAAATTACTTCTGTAGTATTAGAATATTTTTAAATATTTTAAAACAGTAAATCAGCTCATTATCTACAAGCCTACCAAACTGAAGATGGTCTAAAGAAAGACTGAAGTCAATTCTACTATTTTCCAATATAGTCTCGATTTCGCAGACTAGTACAAATGACATCCACATTTGGCTTGGATTGTATCATAAGGAGATTTTAACATTTTAGATCCAAAAGTAGTTTTGTTGCTGCTTTAGCTTATTTTATATAATAGAACCATCAATTACTTGAACATGAATCTATTATGAATCTGTTATGAAGTATCAATCTGTGTGATACTGAGTTAAAAAAAATCTTCAAATTGAAACACCATGTTAAAGTGTATGCATTATGTGCCAACATTTAACTTTGAAGGACACAGTAGACAGCAATTGGCAAGTACTATAAAGTACTGTAAGTCAGTATTGCAAACTGGCATATGCATCATTTCAAGGAAAGTAACTAGGAAGCCCATTAAAAGAATTTGTAGGATCTATAACTTGGTGGGGCAGCTTTGAAGATTTTCCATGTTCCTTCAGAAGCTATCAAATGACATGTAATCATCATTTTCTGAAACGTTCACACTTTAATTGCAAAAAACTTCTAACAGTATTAATAATTATTATAACAGTAGTCAACATACAAAATTATTCAGAATTCCAGTTACTGTTACATTTTTCAAAATATTTTCTCTAACATTAATCCAAATTTGCTGATTCCAATATTAGAAACACTACAACATTTCTATAGCACCCGTCACAAGGGGTAGTGTCCCTGCGTCGCTTAACAATTGTGTGGTTTGATGCCGAGCAGTAGGCATGACTGTAAGTGTGATCAAAGAGGAAATTCTTCAGCTGTGGATGTCTTCAGATGATGGTGAAGTGGAGGGGCCGAGGGAGGTGCAGAAAGCCGAAGCGAAGGATACAGGTAGAAAAGTGGGGTGTGAGCAGGTTGGAGAAGTGAGGAGGTGGTAGTGCATGAAGTCAATTGTGGATGGGTGGGAGGATCTTGGTAATCAATCTATTCTGTGACAAGGAGTCGGGCAATGACTCGATTGATGGGGGTGAGTTTTGTACTGACAAGGATATGGGTGGTGAAGTGTTGAATCAATCACTATTTTCATATCACATTGATCAGTCACGCTTTAAGCAAATTGCTTAAAATGTACTAAGCTACGGGATATCCTGTTACATAGTAGCAACTGTTATTGTTAAAAATAGTCGCTGGCTAGAAAATTATATTAATGAAAATTACATTTTTGCCTGCCCACAAAATACAGTCAAATCATTTTACCGTATATCCTGTGAAGCCATTTTCCAGTAAATCAGGTCAACGTGATAAGATGCTATATCAAATGCAACGATTATTATATTAACAAAACTATATTAATTAAAATAATTACATAATTATTAAAGTAAAATTAGCATAAAAATTAAAACATATTTCCTCATCTGGACTATTCCAGACCTATTAAGACTTGTCGTACAATTCCAGCCAGAAAGTATGAAATCCTGTACACTTGTTCAAAACTCCAAAAATAACCAACATTTGAATAATTTATCAATCCTAGAACAGTTGAGGAATTGAACAAAAATCTCCCTTCTGTTTGCCCCTGAAAATTTATAGACTGTACCAATATCAGCACAAGCAGCTCATTGCTTGACATAAGTTACATTTGTGCAGATAAACAAATGTAAGTCAGGAAAACAAATCATGGTGTACTTGGAAACTTACTTATTTTCAATGTTATAAAAGTCATGTTGGTTTCTATACACATTCCATAGCAGCTGGAGCCACTTCATTTAGAGCAAGTAGATCAGGAGTTATTCTGCAGTTGTTCTCTCCTTTCCCTCTTCCCACAAGCATATTGAGTGTGAATTTTCATATCACTGGTTAGGCAACATCCAGTTAGTCTATCTTATTCATTAAAACACATCTAGACAATGTGGGAGTAAAATTTGTGCTCCCAATTTCACTACAAATTTAATGGTATATGCCCTACAGTAATAACTTGCACAATTATTGTACAATGATGAATAAAGTAGCATGTCTTACTTTAAAAAAAAGTTCTGAATAAAAATACCTCTCATATGATTCTGGATAGACTCCTCACTTGGAAAGTCAAATTAAAAGAGAATTGACAAAACATCAACAAGGCAGCATTATTTCAATGAAAATATTGTTACTGTGCATTTTGTAACTGTATTGGTAAGGATTTTAAAAGTAGCTTCAAAGAATCAATTTGCTGACCATTCAAGTCAATCCATGTAAGTGACTGATCCCTAAATAAGTCAAGCTTTTTTTTTTCTCCAACACTTTGGTACATGAAATAAAATGCTGATGTTCAACCCTGCTACAAAGGCTCCTCATTAACTATCTACGTTATCTATCGTCTCTGACTATTAGGAGTTCACTGTTTCTACGTGCTACACTTGAGACTGAACCCAAGTTCTGGGATCAAGTTTGTTCTTGATAGGTCCTCTCTGACGTGGAGCAGGTACTGGTCTGTTGAACAGCGGTGGCTTGGCTGCTGCCTGGTTGCTGCCTTCATTCAGGCACGCTTGACTGGTTGGAAAATGCCTATGAGAAATGGCTGTCGACCTGTGCACTTGCTGCATTGTGGAGGATAGTTTGGGAACCAGGATAGACATTTTTTGAGTTGAAACAGAGGTTTTCCAATTCTCTTTCTGGGATTGGTTGATGCAGGCTGTTTCTGGCTTGTACGGCTGTTTGTCCACAGGAGGGGGAGGAGCTGGCCTCTTTTTACCTTTTGTGGATGAAGTTGTGGCGTTATCCTTGTTCTGATCTGGCACTTGTACATTTCTCTGGACAATTATATTGTGTGTGCCATCGAACAGAGCTGCCCACAGAGGGGGCTCAGAAACTTGCTGATGACCAAGAAGAAATTCTCCATCAGTCTCCTCAATTTTATTATGGATAATATCCATCAAACTCTTGTCCTTCAGTGGTGACTCAATAGCTGTAAAATATAGAAAATTCAGTGTTGGAGTTGATCATTGTAGTGTCTACCTGGACTAATTACTGACAGTTCATATTTTTGTAATACAACCTTCACCTCACTAGTTTCTGTTTTCATGCATTACATCGGGATTTACAAAGGTTATACAGTCTATTTACATAGACTACATAAAAAAATTAAAACACATTTTCATGCCTTTTTATACTGGTGGAAACAAAGTGATAATGGTTTCCAACACTATGAGGAGAAAAAGCAATTTATACTTCCCACACCTCATCCTATTGCCCTGGTAATGAGGAGAGTTCTACGTACACACAACTAAGGCAATATGCAGAATTCCAATATCAAGAATAAGTTAAATTATTAACAATAAAATACATTTATTCCAAAGCCCTTGGTCATTTATTGGACCACACAAGAACATTTAAACAATCAATTCTGAGTGGAGCTGTAATGAGAAATGAGAATTGATGTGCTTCCAAGCCATCTTCCATCGGGCTCCAGCATCAACCTCAACTTTTACTGCAATCTTTGTGTAAACACAGTATATTTTCACGTTATTATTAACAAATATAAATTGGTAGATAATAAAATAACAGGCAATAATATCCCAAACCACCAATTTAAATCAAACTGTAAATTATTATTTCTCTTGCACTTTTATATTGGAGTGTACTAGTGTAAAAACGTATGGAGTAACTTACGCACAGATGTGGTTTTTTCATACTAGCAGAATAATGCTGTCACTTCCATGTCATTTCTACCTAGTTTCACAGTGGTTCATGTGTGGACTAAAGCAAACACTTGTTTTTGTGCTTGGTTTATCTTTAAGTATTATAGCACAGTGATGGATTAGAGGACTGGTTGATTTAACAGCCTATGTACAATTACAATTAATAATATTATGTACAATTCCATGTGATATACAATACCATTCCAGATCAACCACATCTCAAATTCAGAGAACTCATAAAATCATAAGATTAGTTTGAATGAAGAAGGCCCTTCAACCCATTTGATCTCATCCTTCCACAATATCCATTCTGCTGTCTTCCCATCATAACAGAAATTTTTAAAAAATATAAATTGAGTCCAGTCTTCTAACCTCAACCACCCTTCCTGGCAAACTACTGACAGGATACCATGTTCTCAAAACATACAAGACAAATCACACGCAACAGACAGAAACCGTACTATTACAATTATTTGCTGAATTCAATTTATGAAAAGAAGACTATAGAAGGGCCCTGTTATAGAGTACTTGGTTATAACACTGTGCAATGCGGACCTTCAGTCAACTTCCCGCAAATTAAAATATGCCTGACTTCAAGATCATTAAGTTACTATCAATGTCACTTGGTGTACTGTAAATCACAGGAAATGCGGTCGAAGACAACCTGATGACAAAGAAGTCAGCCATGGTGCAACGTGAGAATCTGACTTGACTTTCTGCACGTGACCCACTATGAGTTATCAAAGTGATCATGGATCTCAGACCTCACTCTACCTATCTAGATATTCATAATCAATTTATGATAGACATCTCGTCTCTCAGTCAAAAGGTAGATTTCAGACCCCACATTGGGACTCTGAGTTCATAATCTAGTTTGATACTTGGGTACAGTCCCATCCATTTGTTCAAATGGAAGTTAACGATTCCATGACATTATTCAAAATGAGAAGGGAGTTTCTCCCTGGTCTCCTGGCAACGGTCCTCCAGTGAACTGATCATTCACTTCACGACTGTTTGTTGGACCTTGCTGGGTCAAATTGGTTGCTACAAATACCATCACTACACTTTGATCAACTTTAGTATTTTGATCTCTATAATAAATGCAAAGGATATTATTATTAATAATCCCAGATTTTAATTTTTACAGATTTGATCTCCACACTGTAGTAACACAAAGTGACTGAATGACATACGTCAGGTTACATAAATATACATGGTCACAACAAGCTACGAAAGGGGTCTGTAAAGTTGAATTTACTTTCATTTCCGCAGTTTGTTTAACTCACTGACTTTGGACATGGTGCGATAAGGCAGGGGGATTTATGATTAACTACTGCATAACTCAAAATATGCTATGGTGAGAACTGACTAAAATGTGGTGAAAGCTGCAGAGAAATTTGGTAGATTATTCCTTGAGCTGTGTTAAGTGAACTGCTTTCTTCACTTAGAGCCCCCAAATAACCATGTTGTTCCAGAACATTTTTATTGAAGTAACTTAAACAAACAACAATTTTGCAAAACATTTTTAATCAACAATAACAAGTTTTATTTTAGAACTTGCTGGTGTGCAAACAAACTGTGCTTTGTTAATCTTCCTTCCACAGAAACTGTGCCACCTAGTGTTGATGAATTTGACATTAAAGACTGGGATACATCTCCACCTACTGCTCAGACCATAAATAACTGCTCATACTGAAGCACAATTGCTGGTGAAATACTTTCCATTTTTATTTTGGAAAGCAGCCTGAGTTTTGTAAGAGGAGGTAAATGCAAAAATATTCTAGAATATGTAAGTGGTTAAATATGTATATTTAAGGGTACTACATTTTCCCTACAATAAAAGTAAATTTATAATATTCACTGCAACAAATCTCCACAACACCTTGCATTCATAAAGTTTCCTTCGCCCGATAATTTGATGAATCATTATCACTGTCGGCAGCAGGACTGCTGAGCTTATTCTAACTGGAGCCTAAAGCTCTAATGTTTTAGCCTTGCTTTATACAGAAACACTAGCATTTGTAAAGATTTAAAAAATCAACTATACTGAACAACAGGCTAGATACCATTAAAAAGTTGAACAAACTGGATTTGTGGTCTCAACTTATTTCCTTTGTGAATCTTCCAGTGAAGCTAAAATGTCAGCCAAGCGTTGGACTCTGAATGACGTGTTTGATTAGACACTGAACAGGATCTGCGTAAAGAATTAGCCATCAGCTGAATGCAATGAATAGAACAATAGCAATATGGAGGGACCATCTTTAGCTCTCTCTTCAGCTATTTGCCTTAATCCTTAGAAAACAGGCACATAACTGTGGAGATGATTTGCCATCTTACTTGTGAACAGCTCAGGACTAAAGGAAGAAAAACTCAATGCAGGATGACCCAAGCCGGTTTACAACATGGATCCACTGCAAACTGACAGTAACCAGAACTGCAGTGCTCCATTGTAGACTAAACAGCTTCCACATGTGCAGGCTGGCTAGCCAGTTGTAATCGGTCTCGCGTCTGACTGACTGGCTTCCTATACGTACGCCAGCGGAAGTGATGTCAGCGACAAAATAATGGCAAAGTGTGTGTTTGAGTGTATTATGGGGGAGTATAATGCAATATCTAATATTTTAGATGCAATATACCGCATTAGAATAAAACCACCCTGAATGAACAAATTCTGTATTCTGAAATAGAACAATTGCATCCTTTTTAAAAAAAACATAAGAATGTATCTCATATTTTGCTAAAAGCAGCAATAGTGTATTATAAAATATAAAACTGTAGGTACACAATATAACATTTTACTTTTTTTTAGAATAAACTGAGCAGCTTATCAAAGCACTGACATTTCTCAGAATTCAGTGAGACATCTTAACAATTTGACCGATATTAAAATTCGCTTGGCACTAGTCCGTGACATTGCTGGTTAAATCATGCAGCCTCAAATTATGCATGGAGTAGCTTTTTTAACATGGGAACTATTCAAATTTCAACAATGATTCTTTTATAACAAGGCCATGTTCAGAAGACAAAAGCCACTTACTCATATCGTGGTAGACTGAGGTTGCTTGTTTTGTGAGGAATAAAGGTGGTTTCCGTGGTGACATAATCTCAATTTTCATAAGCTCTTTGCAACAATGCTTCCACTGGCCTGAAAGTTAAAGCACAGCATTACTGGAATTTAAAAAAAATTAAAGAAAAAAAGCAAATTCAAACAGACTTCTCTTCTATTGGAAATGACTAAATATCTGGCACTATAGCATTTATCATGCATCAAATTTACATAATTACTTGGAACAAGTACAAATTGAAAGCTTTTCTCAAGCAGTTTATAATAGGTTGTCTGAAAATATGGCCATGGAAACCTGAAAATTGAATTAAATTGCAGCTCTTTTAGGATCAATTCCCATTTGACAGAAGAAAAAGTGGCTATTTAGAGGATTAGTTCTCAACAGATTTCCTTGTTTGTTTCTGCAAAACAAATAAAGGAAAAAACTGATAGAGAACTTACTTTATGCTCCCTGATTTTGCGTGTTTATTTAGTAAAAGGACATTGTACAGTATTAACATAGCACACTAATAAAGACATCCAGTGGCAGCAATCCAGTACTAAATGAACCTAAGTAAAGAAATCATTGTGCAAACAGGCTGATGAAGACTGAACGTTAAAGCCTCCTTTTGAAACATTCATTCAAGTTTATTCAGAAACAACTTCTTAAAAATACTTGCTTCAGACACCCACTTAAGAACACACACTGAGCAGAGTATAAAAATCTGAACATTAGCTTCAGTGCCACCTGCAATTCAGGCACTGTTTTGGGATCAGGACAATCTATCCTTCTGATGCAATCTTCAGAAGGGGTAATTTGTAGATCAGAAACATGTGTTAAAGTTGGGAGCCCATAATCTTATGCAGAGATGGGATTAGGCCCAAGCAGACTCACTAGATGGATAGCTAAACATGGACTTTGTGAACACTATGTGCACTGTTGCTTGCCCACAACTTTATATTAGTTTACATTTGGCCATCAGTCACCTGAAAGCACATGTGGTGGTTCTCTTATGTGTCTGAATGAAAACATGACTCTTTTGACTTTCAGTCACCAACAACTTCCTCTTCATCACCAACAACTTCCTCTTCGGCACCAGGTTCTATGAGTGTATTACCCCCATTCCTCATATGGCTCCACCAGCCTGTGAGGATTGAATTTAAAATCCTTGTTCTTACCTTTAAATGCTTCCATGGTCTTGTCCCAGCCCTATCTCTGATTTCAAAACCCGTCTAAAAACCTATCTTTGATTTCACCTATGCCATCTTCCCCCCTACAACTCCTTTCCCTTCCAGCTCGAACTCCTATTCAGCTTTTGCAAATTTCTTTGAGATGTTTTTTTTCTATGTGAAGGGTACGATACAAGTAAAAATTGTTGTTGTTGAGGCTCTGAAATGCCTAAATAATTGTAAACTAGATGACTACCTTATAACCTAAAAAACGGAAGTGTCTTAGATTCAGAAATCCTAACTCTTCAGAGAAAGAGTGAATGAAAGATAAATATCTGTTGGCCTACTGGTCCCTCCTTACAAAGTGAGATAAACCCAGACTATAAAAATGTAGTCTATGGCTCTGCAAAACATCTTTAAATAGTGGCTTTTTGCTGCAATGCCATTTGACACTGCTCAGAAAGTATGCAAACACACTGCACTGTCATACAATAATGCTTTGAAAATGTGTCATAAGCATTTAGCTGCAAAACTTCTGAAAATAGAGCTTCAAGTCTTACCAACTTCAAAGCATAGCTTACTTTTCTGAACTGACTTGCTAATGTTAACAGAAAGTTAATACTTATCAGTAGCACACAGTCATTTGATGAACAAATAATTGAGACCAAAGAACTAGACTTGGGCCCCAAAACATTCATCTAATAAATTAATCAAATCATTATATTTTATACAACAATGAATTAACGTTTTTTCCCATGACAAAGTATTCTCATAAATTGGATTGTATCAGCTAGCTTTAAATAATAATCCTTGCATTTGATATAGTGCCTTATCACATCATTCTAATACCTCAAAGCACTTTACAGGATTTACTATAAAGTGCGGTGACTTCTTAGGTGAACACAGCAGTCAATTTGTACACAGCAAGTTCCACAAACAGCCATGAATTGAATGGACAAGTAGTTACCAACACCTACCAACAGGAGTCAGGCATTCAGCCTGTCTGCCCCTACCCTCTGGAACTCTATCCCGGAATCTCTCCGCCTCACCCCCCTCCCTTGCCTCCTTCAAGGACCGTCCAAAGACCTTCTTGTTTGACCGTACCTTTGGTCATCCTCCGACTCCAAGTGCTTGCCCTCCACCCCTTTTGATTCCAACCCCAAGCTTGGAGGCAAACCCATGACTGTTGAGTGCCTTGGGACGTCCTCCCGACGTAAAAGGCTCCATTTAAATGCAATTTGTTAACATTAGTATCTACAGTATTATTGAAAAAGTTACAATAAAAAAAATTCTAATGGCACAACTTACAGTATAGCTCACTGAGTACTCTATGAAGTTGCCCACTGAAGCAGCCAAATCGCTATCAGCACAAAACTTAAATACCCCAAGACTGATAAGCGAATGGCTGCATTTTGTTTTTATTTTGGTAAATACATTTTATTAATAATTCTCAGCAAACCTCTCTGCCAACTTACTCATGTCATAGAAATGTTGCCAGAAAGCCTCCATCCAGTTGCACAGATCTTCTTTACAGTCTGTTGCAAACACCCAACTCATAGTTTTGCCAGCATATGGATTGACGATGGAGAAACTGTACATGGTTTTCTTTGAGTCTTTGTCAATGTCTCGTACTCTAGTTTCCTGCATAATTAAATCACAACATGTCAGATCTCACAATCTCACAAGGAGTCTCTGCTGACTCCTAACAACTAATCCATTTGTTTCCTACATAATCCAGGATTCCAGAAAACATGAACCTTGGAGTAAAATGGGTGAAAATATGAGCTTTTGGGTTCCAGAAAGTAGAAGGTTTATTTTATATTTTCAGCTGTTGACAGTAGAGTGGTTTTCCTATTATTGATGTGTTCAACTCACTGCCAAAAAAATGACAACCGTGTGAAGGGTTTCACTACACAAGTCTACTTTCTTTACGATGAGATATTTTACATTAAATCCTTAGAAGGAGTGCCAATCATGTTTAGCAGAAACTGCTACTTTATGTAATTCCATTGCCCATTTAGAGGGAATGGTGAAATCCTGTATCTGACAGGTGGGTATTAAAAAAAATAAAAGCTCATTTAATTAAAACTGTGTTAAATATTACAAATTTATAATACGAAATTAAAAAAGGGAGATTGGGTTTATCAAAACGTTTAATTTCATATGGAAAACTATTCCAGCTATCAGAGTGAAGTGGCACTTCCAATTTAGTGAGTCTCAGCTACTTTCAAAGCTAGGTATTGCAGCTGAATAGACAATTCACTAAACTTCTGCACTACTCAGATACCAACTATCCCTAGTAAAAAGAATTGACTATAATAGAACCCAGTGTGCAAAGGATGTTTCCAAAATCATTGTGATAGAATATCTTTATTTAGAGCTGGCTCACTTTCCTCCAGCAGTTAAACTATTATTTTCGCTTATCTGATTAGCAAAGTAAAGCTGAACACTTGATATTCAAGTCTAAGCATGTCAGGTTTGTTACACTATGCATGGGACAAAAGTATCTTCCAATGGACTTTTTACAAACAGCAGCAAATAAGTTGGATTTTGCAGTAGTTACAAAGTTTATCATAAAAACTGGGCAACACAATACCTTGTTGACAGGAATGATTAATGTGGGATCCACTTTTGCCTCAATTTCTTCTGGTGTATAGTGAGCTATAAGATAGCCACCTCGCAGGATGCAGTACAATCTGGTCCAGTTAAGCAGACCTCCCACAATTTGCTGGAAAAACAAACAAAAGAATGGATACCCTAAATACGCAAAGGTTACAATCTGTACTAAGTAAATCTGAATGGTATTGTGTATTACTGGAAATCAGCAATTTGACCTGTGATGGGACTCGCCTCAATTTATTCAAACTACAGTGGACTTCAGTTTATTTGATAAACCTTTCTGGCTCTTTTTTCAATCCGTCGCACAATAACACCAAAAGGAAGCCTGCTGTATTAACAAGTGAGAAGTGCTGCAAAGTTTTCAATAATGGTACCATTGTTGACTTTGTAAAGAGAGAAGATAATTTGGGTGGGACAGCAACAGAGCCGCTCTCTACTGCTTTGTACACTGTGCTTACTTATAAATTCCCATACTAATTAAAGTTATTTAGACAAGATTACATTAGGGCTTTTCTAATGTAACTAATAAAATGTGCAATTGATCTTTTGGAAAAAAAACTTTGCGTTCATCAAGCCTCATTTAAGAAGTTGCTTTGCCAGCACTAAATGTTTCCTTCCCTTATCAGTACAGACTTTTTTTTGTGTGCCAGTAAATCTGCTGACTTGCTGTTTAATATTTATATTCTCTGCCAATACATTCAGTTTTCACTGAGAGGCCTACTTGAGGGTTGAAGACAAAAGAGTAATTTAATATTTTTATGTTGCTCTAAATTGTTAGTTACTAACTTCATCTAGACTGAACGTTGGAGCAGCATTTCTGGCACAAAGCCTCCCAAATCTACTTTGAAAAGGCAAAACAAACCCATTTATCAGAAGTGTTCTTGCTCCCAGAAGGGACATTCAAGTTCAAATTTGTTTTTTTTAACTGTGTAGGTAAAACAATTTAAAAAATGCATTAGTGCTGGGAACCACATAATGGAGGATTGTTTTGTTTGTTCCAACACAATACATCACAGTTGTTTGAAATCTAGGTGTCCTGTTAACATATTTAATGAGGAGCCTCTCTTTCCAGGTATAGCAGCTATCACTCTGATTCTCGTTCACGAAGTTGAATTGGACATTGGCTCTGAGCCTCCTTAGAAATCTCACATGTACAGTCATAGAGAAAAATCAAAACATTGCACAGAACTCAAACTATGGTTTCAAAATAATGCTTTTTTTAATTAATAAAAGTACATTGCTATGCAGCAGAAGCTATACTCAAAGACTGTAAAAGGCTTTAGTTCATAGTAAACATGCTGCACTTTAGATTTAGAGAATTATGGATGGTGGAAATGATATGTGTGGCAATCTGTTACTCTATACTCTAGTAAAATGCAATGGAGGCAGGGTTATCCTAGCAACAACAGTGGTTGTTAAAAAAAAACTATTCAACCTAGAGGGCCTCAGTGATTTCTAATTATTTTATTAAAAAGCACACCACCAAAAGGAGGGTCAGTAATTGCCAGCAATCCAACCTGCCTTTTATGGCGGTGCTGGTAGGATTGGCATCAGCTACTGTACTCTAGCAGAATCATTCTCTTACAACTGTTTCCTTCAAAAACAAAACATAAGTGTACTTAAAAATAAAAATTTTGTTTTTTAACAGCATTTCCATGCGTTTGTAGTTTGCAATTTTTGTGTAAAGTTTGAGAAATAAAACTCCACTATGAATCACTGGCTCATGCTTTGTTCCTCCATAACCATTCACTATTCTAAATTCAGCAAAATTTCAACCAGATATAGACAGATGTTAACTTTTAAGATATGGGTGATTATTCTGTCTACAAAAGTGCTTAATTCAATAATGTTTGCATAAACAGCCAAATAATCGCACCCACAATCTATATAGTCTGCACGACACACGTTTAGTTTTGTCCAAAAGATGACTTGTATATTCTAGTACTGACTTGTGTAATGTTTTGATACATATTGCTGATATGGTGGAAAGAGAAAAAAAAACAGAAGTATTTAGTGGTTAGTTTTCTTAAGCATACTTATTGTATTGAGTGTAAAAAAGGGAAAGGGATGTAATGTATTTTTAAATATTAAAAAAACTTTCATCACTTCTCCTGATTTATGCAGGTTAATGCAAAACATTATAAAATGACGATTCTTTATGTGCATTCTGAAATAGGAAGGTTGGATATTGAGGCTCAATATCAGAGCTTTCAAGCTTTGTTCCCTGGTTCCACTACTGTTATTCTGGTAGCAACTATCGGAGTAAAAATTATAATTTAAAAAAATTCTCGAGCCACAGAATGGCAAACCGCTGCTGGCCATTAAGTCACCTAAATGGTAATAGAAGAGGATACAGTATACAGCTGCTGTCTTCACAAAGCAGCTCTCTATTTTTCCATTTTGTCATTTTTGATCTAATAGCATAATCCCAGAATAATAGTGAAATGTGATTAGTGCAAAAGTCATCAGGTCCAGTGTAAAACAATTGATGCAAGGGGTGGCAGTATTAGTTGATGATGTTCTCAGTCACTGTAGGATCAAAGGGTAATTAGTGAGTAACAGTCAGTGTTTAGACAAGAACAAATAATTCCCATCCATGTCCAGACAAGATATAAGATTTGCTCACATCAAAACAGCTCCTTACTTGGGTTGTCAAGACTCCTTCCATAAGTAAGGAAATGAACCATGGACTTCCAACATACCTTTGAAACTGGCAAATCTATTACATGGGGAAGCAGTATATTCTTATGAAGCTTGAATATGAAACTTACATTTCGTAGAGAAAAGATCAAGGGATACATTTTTGTGAAAAAAAACTTAAGGAGAAATAAAAGCCTAGTTCAAGCTGAAGTGATAATCAGCTTGTCAAAGCACTGGTCCTGAATTTCATGCAAGTCTGGCCACTATATGTCTAAGGAGGAGACATCCTGACACAGGAGAAGGCAGACCACTGGAATGGCTGTGGATATCACTTTGAAGCCCAATAATGAGACTGCTCTCCTGTTCATAATGGTTGGAGTTGAATGAAATACTGTAGCAGGTATGAGATACACTGGAAGATGAACACTTTGCTACAACTGTTCATCAGATCAGTGAAGATAAATACATTTGTAAAATTGATATGGTTATTAAAACTGTCCGATTTTCCTTCTGATATATCTAAATTGCAAAACAGTGAAATACTGGAGCAGGGAATGGAAAAAGGGGAAAGAGGAAGTGAATTATAAGGAAATAATGCACAGAATAAAACAAGTCATAATTTGGTTTTTTTTTAGTCTTACTGCAGTTCAAATGCACACTAAATTCTGTCACTTGACTGTCTTCCGTAATACCTAGAATTTCATACTGATAAACTTCCAAGATACCATACAAGACAAGCTATCTGCAAATCAGAAGACAAAACAGGAAAGTACATTCGAAATTCTGTAGACAAATGATCAAAAAGAAGTTCAGTTTCAGTGCAGTAAAAATAACACTTCAGTGCAGGATGTGGTTTGTAAACATACATAGACACTTTTGTGATCTTACAAAGTGAATGTTACCTGCAGGTTGAGGAATCCGGTCATCACATCATCTGTCATACATGCTGGTTGAGCTACTAATCTGCAGCACAAATTTCCATACAGAGGCACCCAGAACGAACTTTCCTCTGAAGAAGTTAACAATGTACAAAGGAACAGATGAACAATAATGCAAGTTCCAACTTCCATCTACTTTTATCAAACAACTTAAAGATACAACTTGCAAAAGCTCAGAAAGTTTTTCTCAATGGTTTGTAAATGTAAAGGGATATCATACAAGTTCAACTGAAGTGATAATCAGCTTGTCAAAGCACTGGTCCAGAATTTCACGCAAGTCTGGCCACTATATGTCTACAGAAGAGACATCCTGACACAGAAGAAGTTACAACAGAAAGAAATCGGATACCCAGATGCCCATTTTTTTCCTGTCCTATTCAATCTGATGAGTTGATATCCAATATTTTAATTGAAATTAGACACTTTAATGTTTTGATAAATATATCAATGCAGGGTAAAGAATCAAACATCTGATATAATTACATTGCTATGTACAAATTGGCTGCCACGTTCGACCACAAAATCCACTCAAATCCACTTTACAGTATATCCTGTGAAGCGCTTTGAGATGTTTTGACTACATGATAAGGTGCTATATCAAATGGATTATTATAATTAATAATTAGAATTACATTTATTTTAGTTACCTCAGTGGCATCCTATAACTTGTTACTTTTTTCCACAAAACCCTGATTGGTTATTCCTGGGTGGTGTAATGCAGCTTCAGTAATTAAAGGCCAGAAAGACATGGCTAAAAAAAAACCTGCTCCAGCCAGCTGTATTGCATGCTCTCAACAGACCAGCTCCAGATTTTATCTCCCCCACCCACCCAACCCCCCCCCCACACACACACACTATGTATTTATGCATGGATAGAAAGTTGTTATTTTATTTATCCAATTGGAACAATGTCAACAGGGATAGGAACAGATGTATCAACCCTTTGAGAGTGGCAGGTTTACATGTGACTTCAGGCATTGAATGAATACTGATATGAAACCAGTTATAAAATGGTCTGGTCTACACTACTGTTGATTTATTTCATATAAATTGACTGCTGCATATATTGTTTTGAAAGGTTGGATTCTGACCAATTTCAAGTTTGATGTGACCTTCAAAATTCAGTACACCATTACTATAATCAAGGTATAATGCCAGTAATAATCGTGGAGAGCAATGCATGCTGTTATACTATCAATATCATTACATGTCTCTGTAGAACACCACTAGCAATTCTATATACTGTAATCATTTCCCTGTCTGGATCAGATTTAAAATGATTGAAGTTGCTGTAGTTCTTCGTACTACTGCCCGGTAATAACAGAACAGTTTTATACATCTGAAAGCTGCCCACATTTTAATCGGTTTACTACATATTACAAGGAGCTGTTTACTGCACTATAAAAAAATAATAGCAGCTGGAATTGGCAAAACTGGTAGTTATCTTCTGGTTAATTACACCCTGTGTTTGGATAACCCTGATAAATAATTACAGTGCTTTCTGAAAGACGCTCTCTATTTCTCACATTTATACATCTGGTTAAATACACCATATATATTTAAAACTAGTGTAATAATTTAAGTGGGAATATAGAGTGGCAGCGGAGGTGCTGGGAAATCTTGAAGCTGAAATCAGCATTCAGCTGACTTGGCAGATACATAATAGTTTTCTTTGTTACATTTTGTGATGGTTTTAAGCCCTGTAGTGTAGATGTGATTGCTCACTAAAGGACCTCCTCAACAGAAATGCAGCACCAATCTGAAATAAAATTTATATCATAGAATCATACAGCACAGAAAGAAGCCATTCGGCCCATCGCGTCTACGCCGGCTCCTAAAAGAGCAATCCAACTCAATCCCACTGGCCCGCTTTCTCTCCATAGCCCTGCAATCTGCAAATATGCAGAGTAGCAAGTTCTCACCTGTGTTTAAAATGCATTTTCCGCACTTGCTCAGACAATAGATCACTTGCTCTATAAGCGAAGCAAATCTATTGTAAGAATGCATTTTACTGTCCATCTCCTATTTTCACAGTGCCTTACATTTCGCTAGTCAAAATAAAAATGGTGACAAACATGCAAAACAAAAACATTTAGAATTTGCCTCACAGTTTCCTTGTGCCTTTAGTTTAAATTATTGAAGAAAAGGGTTAATATTGTATGAGGTAATTGAATGCAAGATGTTGTTGAAATAAGGTTGGTTCAACAGCACCTTCCTGTGACATCCACCATCCAGGAGAGCATGAGGACACTGCCACACCCATTTTTTTCACCATGTCACTCACACCATTGTGATTTGGACATACATTGATGTTCCTTTTTTGTCATTGGGTCAAATTCCAGGAACTCTGTACCCCATCTTCCAGGGAGCACCACAGCAAGGACACCAACAGTCTAAAGAGAAAGCCCCCCCAACTGCCTTCTTAGGTCAGGCCAAGATGGGCAATAATTGGTGGGCCTGTTGGCAACACCCACATCCCAAAATATATTAATTACATCTCATTCTTTAAAAAAAATCTGTGTCCTAATTTAAAATGTGTGAAATGATTTGTTTGAACATGTCCATAATTAATAGTGATGTTTCAGATCAACTGTCAAAAAAGTGATGACACATTGACTCTGTTTTGCACAGAATGAACATAAATAGTTGCAGCTGTTGCCACAAGTGCATCTGTGATTGCCTAGTTACAGGATGCTTTGCAGGTATACTGATAACATTCTGTTTACTCGATCGGCCTTAGATCCCAATCTCTCCACATTGAATGGTTCAGACAGGTTAGATGGATTTAACAGAACATTCACTGGGAGATTACTGGGTTTCTTAAAGAATAGTCAATTAGTAGGCTACAATAGCACATCAAAAGTCCTTAACCCCCTATTATTGTGTTTTACGCTATGTATAAAGCGCTATCATTGGGTTTGTGGTTGTGTAGACTGAGGTTTATTTATCAGATGTGAAACATTGCAGAAAGGCTGTGCTGGAGGTGAATGTAGAGCATACAGCAGAATTGGAAGAATACAGCTGATTTCTCAGGAAACATAGTGGAGGAGTTAAAGAGAATTTGCAAGGAAGAGTTAAAAAAAATTACAGTTAAACCCAAAAATACAATCAATGTAACTTTACATGGAGCAGCTGATCTGGAAACAAAGTGTATTTAAAGACCACCAAAGATTTTCAGCCTTCAAAAGATAAACATTTCTAAAAGAAGATATCAATTCTGCTTTAGGAACATCAAACAGTAAGAAATTGACTCACCATTTCCTATGATGGTGAGGCTGTGAGTTCGAAAGCTGCTTTCAGCATTATCAATTCTCAGGAGGGTTTCTGCAAGCAAATTATATTTGGCACCACTAGGTGGAGAAGAGTGTAATGTTAGTTTGCTGCAACGTCTCTGAAGAAAACGAGCCAAACAGATTAGCTTTTTTTAAAAATTCTCCTGTATTTACTCTGTCCGTTTCTCTGCCAAATATCGTTACTTCCTGTCCATCTTACTTGACTAAGAAGGTAGGAAAATGATCTGTTCCCAAACCTCTGTGAATGCCACTTTGTAATCAGACATGAGAAATACAATGGGAACAACCTGATCGATTTGATAGTTTTTCCTCCTTCCCTGAGGGGAAACTATTTAGCCTTCACTGGCTAACTTCCCTACCAAGCTGAGAAAACAGATGGCAAAGGAATAGATTTTATTGTTCTCTGATATAATGCATTGGTGCATAGATCAACCTGCTGAACATTAATAGTCTAACTATCACTTGATTTCTCCTGACATTTATTCACCAGAGGAATTCACCCACAAACTGTGCCACTTCTGCAGTCAGCAAGACTTCAGTTAGTTTAATTCACGAACAGGAGTAGAAGGAACATCTTAGTTAACAAGGACAAGTTGAGGAGGTCCATTAAATTTGTTTAAATTTTCTATTCTTCTTTTCAGCCTGCATCTATCCAGCTACTGGTCCATGAGGCATCAACCCAGTGAGGGAAGCAGCAACGCATCCTTTTCATTATAAGTCTTTTCACACCATTTGTTTAGAAACGTTTACAGCAGAATAATGGATCTCTGAATGGATTGATTTCATAAAGTATTATTCTGTAAATGCACAATTGGATTCAATATTTCAAAATAAAACTTTTTTTGAAAACCCGTTTAATTTCTGTTTTGAAACTATGGACGTATTTGATGAACTTTAACTTCACTGCTTAAACATAAATACAAAGATGCAATACAATAATAGTCTTGTTAATATTCATTGAGAGCTCTGTGTGGATTTCATAAAGTTTTACACAAAAGTAAAATACACAGAATCATTTTAATGAAGATTTAGCAGTAGAATATTACTCATATATTGGGTAAACTTCTAAAGGATTATGAAATCAGTGAAATAAAAACATCTGTGAGAATAAGATGATCAAATTACTGTTTAGTTCCGAAAGTATAAGAGCACAATGAAGTTTAAAAACTTACATTGCCACAGGGTTGGTTAGTAGGATGGAGTTGAGGTCTCCACTCTCCATTCCTAATGTGATCTTCTTTCCCGTAGACCTGCTGAGCGAGGTGCTGAGTTTCCTGGCAAGTCTCCTTGGAGTGTTGGCTAAGGAAGGTTCGTCCTCCATGCAGCAGCTGTACACCTCCAGCTTCAATTCAAAATCTGGCTTTGTATTATTACTGTAAATCAATGTGATTAGCAATAAATGAGAATCTCATAACTTGCTGGTAGCAGAACTCACTCACCAGTCAAGAGGCATTTGAGCAAAATAATTAACACTAGTTTGATGGAAAAATAGTTAAATGAGAAAATAAATTCAATCTGCAGAGCTATTTTAGGAGGATGTATGGAGGATTTGAGTAAGTCTGCTTGGGTGTGCAGTGAGGAGGGAAGCAATAATTTGTTGAATGATTACAGACACAATTACTTTCGATATTATTATTTTGAATGTAATTGGTTAAGCTGAGAGCAGGGGGGCACAAATTCAGGTTTTAATTCCCAGTGCTTGCTGCTGTCTTACTCTACTTTTTATTTCAATAATAAATTCTGTGTATTTGTTCACTAGCTGCCTGTCTCCATTTAATCATCCCGATGAATTTGTTACTGGAACTGCTGAGTAGGAGGATGCATGTCGTATTTGTGTAAGTCTGTGTTTGGGTGTGGTGGGGAGGGAAGCAACACTTTGCTTAAAACATATTGCCTTCAACTAGTCAGAATTAGAATTATTATTGGGTGATTCTGTGTATTCATCAGTGGAGCATTACACAGAGAAGAGCATTCATCCTGACAATCTAATATTGTTGTATCTACAGATTAAAACTACACTATTACAATAAAATGATGTAAAGTAATCAGATAAACATAAATCATCTTTACAACAACAACAACAAGATTCCATTTATAAAGCGCCTTTCACGTCAGGAGGACGTCCCAAGGCGCTGCACAGTTGTGTCAGGACCCGAGCAGTGGGGAAATGGTCAGGGTGAGGGGAGGGAAGGGAGGGAGCGAGGAAGGGGGAAATGGTCAGGGTGAGGGGAGGGAAGGGAGGGAGCGAGGAGGGAGAAGAGAGTCGAGAGGGAAGCTGAAGGCACGGTCAAAGAGACTGTGCCTTCATTCCCCAGAGTTTGGGGTAAAGTACAATGCTGAGGTTTTGTAGATGAAGCTTTTCCTTAAATGTAGCAAATTACTACACTCCACCTGAAATTACTGGCTCCTTACAAACGGGGCTGCATAAAAAGGAATTCTACTCTGACCACTGCCACCCCTCATCTTCATGATTGCAAAAACTCACATAAAATAAGCACATTAATAGCTATCATTATCCTGCAGCTACAATGAGTAGCCATGTGGTTGAAAATAGACCTTGATATTTATGTTTTACGCCCTTAACTGCAACAAACAAAATATTTATAATGAATCCATGTTGTAGTTTGTTCAAAGTTGCACAGACGTAGCACAAACATCAAGAACCAGAAAGTGCAGTACTGCAACATTTAACAAGTGCTACATCAAGAGGAAACCTTATTTACATTGTAGGTTTACGATATGCATTTTCTTTATAAAAACAAAGAAAATATTTATCTATGACTAATGAAAGAAAATACACTTTTCAAAACAAGTTAATACTCACAATATTATCAAATTCTCAAAGCAGATATCGGTAAGACTTTTATCCACAATAACTAACTCGGTGTCGAAAACGTTTGCTCCAATTTTCAGGAGGCAAAACACTGCAAAACGCTGAGTCTCTGGAAAACAAGGAGAAGATCAGTCTAGAAATTGGGAAATCAATAAAAGAAAGTTTTTTTTAAAAAAATATATATCGTCCACTTACTCCCTCGGTTATTGAAGTGATCAGAATCTTTCCACATTAATGGAATTCGAATATCTGCAATGGAAAATAGTATATTCATAGAACTGTACAATATGATAAAACCCAATACTTACAATGTAGGAAGCATGTCCATCAAGTTAAATAGAAAAGTACACTGGCTTGTCTTTACACTTCTTTAATACAGGCTGACCCATTATAACCTGGGAATTTGTGTCCATAAACTGAGACCCCATGTTATTACAAGGTGAAGAAATAGAAAAAACTGCTGACCACATTTCCAGATTGTCAGGTCTCTGCTGATATCACTTCCTGCACGCAATGTGCAGGACGTCAGCAGCCAGTTTCACGAATGTTTCTGATGGTTGCTGGGACACCAGGAGAAGTCAGGAGACCTTCTGGCTGCTCGCTATTTGCAGGAAGTTGGCCAGTTACACAGTCAACACTGCAAAACAGAAGTGTACCGCACTTCCAATATACCAGGGCTAGAAGCAGATCCTTGATATACACCTTATAGTGGGATCGGCCTACATGGCACTACTTCTACAATGAATATGGTCAGCCAAACATAGCATCTCAACGTCCCCTCTTATAATTTAGGTGCCACTTTAAATTACTATTTATATTAATCTATAAAATGCACAAACAGCAATCTCATTCTACTCTCAGTAAGAAATTAAATGGCTTGATATGTTTTGCCTAGTTTATGCAATGGAACAAGACTCATCTGGAACACACTTTAAGCAATATCCTAGATTCAGATATGAAATGGTAATATAACATAATGAGATCCAACTCTAAGATATTAATACAAGTAAAAAGTCTTGTCTACAATCTCTGTATTCTTTTTGTATTTAATATTTTACTAATGTACTTTTAAATAAAGTTTTGTTAATGTGTGCTTCATCGATGCAGGCTGAGTGATGCTGGTATTTATACCTCGGACTCTCAGGGGGTGCCTTCTGTTTTGCATATACTAATAAAGTCTTATACAGAATTGGCACCGGATATGCATCTCAGATCCTTATATAAAAATATTTGTAAGCATTTTATTTCTGAGGGAGAGGAGCAATTAATGGTAGTGAACAGCAGGTAGTATGGCTTGAATACATTATGTCCAGATGCTAATCAAGTAAGTTATATTGTGCCACCTCCAAATTGATCCCAACATCAATCCTACCAAAGAGGTGGCTGCCCATGGGAAGTTGTGATTAATTCAATGTGCATAACTCACCGAAAGTGTATCCTCAACAAAAACAAGACCTCAGAATACAAAGATGAACTTTATCCGAGACATCTAGAAACAGAGGCTAATCCCGCAAAAATCACTATCTGAATTATTAATAGAGATGTGAAATGAACTTCCAAAAAGTTTACAACAGCGTAAACACTGCACAAAGATTCATATCACTACCAGATATTGCAATTTTTCCATAACATGCAGAATGCTCCTTTCTGCCAGCGTCAGGTGATCTGTACAATTAAGAGAAAACAAAAATTAAAACAGGCTGTGAAATAACTAGAAACATGCATTGTTTTTGACAAAACATACACTGTTGTTTGCAAGAGGAGAATCTTAACTTGACACAGTAGAGATGCATTGTTATAGTCTTTTCAGGAAATACATCATTTACATATCACATATTTAAGTACAATACTGTCAATGCAGGAAGCCTTTTTCATTTTTTGCGCAAGAAGGGCAATCTGTTTCTACAGTTAAATTGCAGGCCCTTGAGGCGCTTTTCAAAAAGATTTTCCCAAATCAATATTCCCCTCTAAATTACCAACAGATGGTGCTTTTCCAGTCATATGGCATTATTTAATAATTCATATTTCAACAGAATTTATAGTGTTTTTTGGTAACAGTGTTTTAAGCAGAAGGAAATGAAGTTAAAGGAAGATTCCTTTAAGAAGATTTAAGCAGGTACAATAAAAAGACAGCAAACTCTCTTTACTCCATAAAACTATCCGCAAGAGCCAAACAATTTGATGCTGTCAGAAAGTAAACTAGGTATTTTTTCCATGAGAAAGGAAGTTATGAACAGGTTTATCAAAGAATGCCAGAGGAAGACAACATGAAACAAAGAAGTCTACAAAATCCTGTTCAAACTTAGTTCAAACCCACCTTCTTGCCATATTGTGCAGGATCTGCTCTTCTTTGCGCTTCTGAAGCTCTGCCATGTAGCCCAGTATACGGGCATTACACGTTAGCAGGTTCTTGGCAGCTTGTACCACCTGATCCCTCTGGGTACATGCGGCGAGAAGTTTGCAAATGCCTTCCCTCATTCGAATTTCAAAGTCCATTTTGTCTTGAATGTTGCAATCCTGCAGGAGAGTATAATTAGACAGTAGAAGAGCGCACCTTATAAACAACAGACAAAAGCACAAAAGAAATGTAAAAAGACTGAAAATCCATTCACTCATAGGTTATTTGATAATCATAGGTTTCACTCAAATAGCAAGGCCAGAATTATTTGGTTAAGTTTCAAAAACAAATCCGCCAGAGGCAAGTTTTCCCTTTCCAGTGCTCTGCAGAGGTGGCTAGATACACTCAGTAGTAAATGGGCTACAAAATAATTTGAGTTTGTATTGGGAACAAGAGGAGCATCTCTTCCAACCAATTGCTTATTAAAATGAAATAATCAAGTTCTGACACCCATTAAAACTGGACAACAAACAGAGAGAACCCAAACTAACATTTTTTTTCTCTTTTGCAAATAAATACAACCCTTCCCCCCCTACATTTCAATACCCAAGAAAGTTTGGGGGGGGGGGGGGGGTCTTATCATGCTGAGCCATATGACTGCATCTTATGTTAAGCAGGTATTTATGTCGAACAGACTTGATAGCAGTGTGCAACCTTACCACCAGGGTGTTAGGGAAGCACAGATAAGGTTACTTCCTCTGGCCACCCTCGTACACACACACACAGTGTAAACGTCAGTAATTCCAATCAATTCAAGAGTTAAAACATAGCTTATAGTAAGATTAATCTTTCAAGACATTTTTGTGCAATAGTTACAGGAATGTAGGCAGGTAGAATCTGTAAGTGCAAAGCAGATACTTTTCCCTGTTCTCCATGCACTTGAACTAATTTGTGTAATAAGCCATAGAGATCCTATACTGCAGAAAGTATGGCATTTACTTGTGGAAAAAGGTCCTGCCTTCATCAACAAGCTTAGTTTTTTTTTCCCTGATTGAATGCTAAAGAAGCCCACTTATATGCTGAAGGTTGCTCTACTTTCCATTACATAACTCAGTGGTTAGAGCACTCCCCTTGCAAGCAAGAGACCTGGGTTCAATTCCTGGCCAGGGCGGAACCTTGGGCAAGTTTCCTTACTCCACACACCTGATAATAATCCCTCAAGGAAAAAAAACAATAATAAATTGGTCACTTCAATCCATGACTGTTTGTGGGACACAGCTGTGTGCAACTGGCTTCCACGTTTCGCCCACAAAATACACAGTCAATTCACTTTAAGCATATTCTGTGAAGCGCTTTGAGATGTCTTGAAGAATTGAAACGCGCAATATCAAATGCAAGGATTATTATTACTTATGGGACCACAGAGAATCCTATAAACAGGCACTTTATATACATCAAAGAGCATATTTACTTTATAAAGTCTACCGTACAATGAAAGTACTGCCAAATGGCAGTGCGTTCGGTGTACAACTTGTGCATCCACAGCAACTGGTGTGATTCACTATTGATCGATTCACTATTGATTTATGGAGTAGGTTTTTGAACTAATGTCAAACTGAATGACAGTTTGTGAATGTAATACACTCCTGACTTTATTGTTAATGCTTCAGTTAGAAGGTTCACACGAATCAGCCGGGTAGCCATGGGAGTCCTCCATCTAAACAGAATAATAAATCCCCGGACTTATACATTGAATGAAATTTCCTTGGAATGTGCTTAATATTTTAATAAACCTGAAGTAATATTATAAAGAACACCATTTCCTGTAAACATTATTTAACCTTGGAATATTGTACAAAGTAGCAAGAAATCTAAACGTTCACCTTTTTATAAAAGGTACAAATTCTACAAACAGCATATACCATATCAAACATCAACGAATTAAAGATTGCAACATAATCCTAAAATAAGCAACTGTACTGACAAAGCGCCCAAAGGCTTGTCAAAATGCTCAGTGGTGTTCATGAGTAGTTCCCTCTACACTTCCTGCTAATGTAATCCTTCAACAGTTCACACAAATCACCGCTTAAAGAGTTTAATCTAAATGGCATTAATAGCTAAACTTTAGGAAAGCATGTAAGAGTAGAAAAGAAAAAGCAGATGATAAACAGGTACAGTTTTGTTAAGTGTGAGTGGAAAAATAAAACTTTAAATAGACAACTGACAACAATAAATGTTAGCGCTATATTTTGATGTGGAGATACTGCTATATCTTAAAATGGCTTTATCAATTAGCATACAACCTATGGAACAAAAGGATATCCAAATTGCTGAGTGAAGAATTAAGGTTTTGAATTCTGAATATGTTACTGTCCAAAAAAAAATTCTATTATTCTCTAAACAAAGCACCTTCAGAATGGAGGGTAAAGACAATACAGTACATGTAGACAGTACAATACATGTAGACAGCAAACTGAAATGTGCAAAGTCGTATTTCAAAGGTTGATGAGCTCATAGAGATAAAATCTATTTTAAAACTTCCATTGAAGCAGAATAGAACCTCACTTTAGAGTGAGCATTCAGAATATAAATTCTATTCAATTTCGTAGGTGACAACTGTCCTCTGGCACCTCATCTAAATTACTAATCTTCACGTCTAACCTAAACTGTAAATACAACAGGCTCTTCCGACTGGTGTAACGTCTGAACCAAATTCTGCCTCACCCAACAGCTACAAATGCACATTTTCCAGCAGGAGTCACTAGTCAGCAGTGTGAATCAGTATTATTTTTTCTCATGCATCCTATTGTTCAGCTTGCTGCTTCTGCTGCCTTGACTGATCTCCAAAATATTTGAAACATCTTATTGCAAACATCAAAATGCAATAAACAATTGTTTTAGCATCTCCAAAACAATAAAAGTCTACTAGATTCACGATTTCTCTCTAATAACTCATCTTCCCAAGAAACTTGCACTTCCAACTACCTTCATCTTGCATGCAATCTGTCGTATGTATAATAAGTTCATGTCCTCGATGATGTGGAGAGCATCATTCAAACTACCGCATCTTTTCATAGCGTTTACCTGCAAGCAAGTGTGCCGTTAAATGAGTGAACACAAAAATGAGACATTTCTACGTTTTAGACACACCTGATCAGTCATTCCATTGACCATTTGTAACACATCACTAATTCCTCAATTAAATTCCCTCAACAATCGTGGCAATAACTCCTAACTGTAATTGAGGTTGCTTTTATTAAGTGTGCAAGCCAGCTCCTTAACTCAGAAACAGGTAAAATGTGCACAACTTTCCTTTCAGCAAGTCAGAGACAGTTAGTTGCAGTATCGATATACGCTATAAGAGGTTGTTGGTATGTTTTATAAATATTATAATGTACTTTACTATTGTATTCACCAAGATTACATACTAAAAGAACGATAAAACCGGCCATTACAATTTAAGAATTTGTTCCAGTGATGCAGGTTGCTTTACATTTCCTCCCAATACAATATCTCGTGAAAAAGGTTTTATTTTCGGATGTTTTTTATGCTTGGTTCAAAACCCTACTGCAAACATACCTGCAAAATGTATGTTTTATAGACATTGCATAAGGATGAAGGGAGTTACCACTAGATAGATCTTATATTGAATGAATGTAAATTTAATAAGCCAAAATTTGGGATTTTGGTGATTACATTTTTGGTAACTCAATGAAAAACAGCTAAAAATGCCTGAAAAAAACGTCATACATAAAAAAGCACTGAATACATCATGAGCGATCACAGTCACCGATATATAGAAATGACTGGAGAAGACCTGATTTTCTCCTGAATTAGGCAAAACCGTACTGCCTTCGGATTCGACCACAAAATCTACTCAGCTCTCATAAATGCAAATATACTTTGCAATGAAGCAAATGCACCATCTGTGTTTACCACACTTGAATAACAAAATTATTTTCGACCTTTAAAATCACAGTGAGGATATAACATATCCTGCAGGAAAAAAAAACTATATCTTTGAATTAAACGCATTAGCCCCAGCGGCCTGCTGAGCTTTTTTTTTCCAAAAAAAAAGCAATGAAATGTGATAAATATCCGCTGAACAAAGAAGACTGCAGATCAGGCATAATGTCTTCGTGGGTTATTCAACATCTGCTAACTCTTGTGCCCTTTGCTCTTGCCAATTCAATTCAAAGCCAGAATCAAAGAGGGGCGCGGCCAGACAGCACTGAAAACCCCAAACATTTAGCAAACCGCACTGCCGAAATCTGAACGATAGCGAACAAATGGACTGTTGTAACTTTCACCCATTTTCTAAAGAAATGCATTTGGTGTTGCACACCCCAATTTAACTTGACCCCAGCAGTTCTATATATATATATAGAGAGAGAGAGAGAGAGATATATATACACACACACACAGATTTCTGTTTGCTAAACGCTTCTTTTCACTTTGCAAACAGCAATAGTTTCTGCTGCTCCACTTCAATAACTCGCAGATTTTCGCTCAAAAAGGAGGTGCATTTCGGTGAGCGCGCTCTGCCGAGAGCTCGACCTCGACCCACGGTCACAACGGAGCAGTGGGGGGGTCTCTGACGCTGTTTACGTGGTGCAGATGGCAGTCCACCACCTGCTTTCTGCCGGTGGAGGGTCCAGACTGGAAGCCGTGGAAAGTTCCTGCGCGGCGGCCGAGCGCTTTGCGTTCGGGACGAACGCGGTTCGGTTAAATTCGGGGCTACTTCTATCTTCTCTCGAGGCGGATTTTTTTTCTCTCTCTCTCTCTCTTTCTCTCCCTCTCTGTCGACTTCTTATAACCGGTTAAATGAGCTTCGACAGTGGACGGGGCACGAAAGTTTTTTTTAAAAATAACCCGCAAACGAAGAGAACCCCCTTCCCCACCCCACCCCCCAATTACCTCTCACTCGCTATATATATAAAAAAAAGGTCTTGGAGGGTTGGTTGAAGATTAACCCGGAGGCGGCCAGACTCCAGGAGAGTGAACGAAAAAAATCTCTCTCTCTCTCTCTCTGTCTGTCTGTCTGTCTGTGCCTTCAAGCTCACGAACTGCCGACGGGGGCCACGGGTCGCGCAGAGCGCAGGGGCTGTGTGTGTGTGTGTGTGTGTAGTGTAGTGTATGTCTGTGTACATACGGCCGACTTCCCGGGCCCCGTCGCCATAATGCGGCAGTAATGGAGGCCACCGGCCACTCACCGTGTGCTCGGCTCTCCTTCCCTCGCCTTTCACCTCCATCCCCGCCGTCGCCGTCGCCCAGCGTTTGGCGGAGGCGCCGCCGTTGGTCTCGCGACCCCGGACCAGCATTTGAATCCGAATCCGAATTCGAATCGGGCGCTCGGCCCGAGTCAGCGTTCCACCGTTGCCAGGGGAGCCGCGAAAGTGGCGCCAAATTCAAACTGGCCGCACCCGCCGGGGGGAAGAAGGGAAGGGAGGAGAGGAGAGAGGAGAGAGGAGGGCAGGGAAGAGACTGCCACCTGAGTGAGTGACAGGTTACCTGCCTACCGCCTGCTCCAGATTGCATTGGGTGAGGGAAGGGCAGTCTTAGTGCCAACCTCAGTCGCCCAATCCCTCACGCAAAACCTTGGCTTAGCGTTGTATTTTTATTGCCCGCACACACACACACACACACATAGTACATACACACACACACACACACACACACAGTACATACATAACTTCCCAGTGTGCGGGCGTCTGGTTGGGTCCGGAGATGGAGTGTCCGGTCCCGGGGACCACAGATGTGGGAATCCGAGGAGGCCTCACTGGAAGTCCCGCGGCCGTCCATCGGGGCCGGTGAACATGACCATCCGCGGTCGTGGCGCTGCGGGGACGAGTCGGGCGATGCAGTCCTGCGGATAAGTACAGACTGACTTGACTCGAGAGCTCACGGTCCAACTAGAAATAACATCTGATCGGTTCTGCCCGGTGGAGGCTCAGTCCGGCGCGGAGACACGATTCCGCAGGAGCTCCTGTGGGCTGTTACGGCTCTGGGGAGTTCAGTGTCAGTCTTGTGCAGGTATGTGTGTGTGTGTGTATGTATGTATGTGTGTGTATGTATGTGTGTGTATGTCATTCAGCAGAACCGCCTATGCATTGGCTCCTGTGCGGAGCGTTTAATATCTGTGTATCTGTATCTAATATCTGTGATGTTGCAAAAATATAATGCTTATTAATTTTTTCGTTCACCACAGCAGCTCTTGTGTAGAAACAGACCGGGGACCCCTTTAACCATCTCATGACCATAATCTAACCTTTCATTTCGAAACACCTGTTGCGTGGAAAAATATTTCAAATGCAAGTGTCTGATTTAGATACCAGTGAAGTATATATGTCACCTATATTTGCTGCATGTTAGTAATTTGCAGTGATCAAGTTTACAGCATAAAGAGGTCATTGGGCCCACTGGGGCTGTTTGCAGAATCTATTACCTTCAGATGGCTCTTCGGGAATGAAATATTAATTTCAGCTTCAAAAAACATTTATTTTTTATGTATGTTTTGCCTTTTAAAAATAAAACGCAATGGCTTCAATGGATGTAAATCTTATCTCATTTTACTCATATCTCTCAGGACTTAAATGCTCTGATCATGACAGTAAATGACACCAATGGGCTACAAACTAAATTCAAAAATATATTGTGAACAAAATTATTCCTACTATTTTTGTCAGACCTGTAATTGATGTAAATTAGATCAGATGTATAGGTTCTTGCATCAAAACCTAAGTCTTGGAGGTAAAGGGCAATAAATGTCTGACAACATCAAAAGCCATTTTATTTCAATGAATCTGCTGACCACTGGGGAAGGTCTAATAGCCAGACAACAGAATTACAATTCACATAAGTGAATGCTATGTTTTTTACTGGTACAAGTCAATCCTATTTTTGACCACACAGTGTTCTGGATCCATAAGCTCAGACCAAAGTGTTAAAATGAAGAAATAAAAAATGGACAAGTTCTGGATCATAAGCTCGCCACTGACATGGACATCCTCCCGACGTGAAAGGCGCTTTACAAATGTAATTTTGTTGTTGTTGCTTCATATGTTCCATGTGCCACTATCATTACTTACTGCACACTGCATACATATTAAGCACAGCAGACATCGCTTCATGTGCAGAGTGACATCAGTGGCAGATCAACAATAAAAACTTGCGTTTATATAGCGCCCTTTACACAGGTAGTAGCCTTGAGTTCTTGTATACCATGCAATGGGTGTAACGAACAGGAAGTGATCTCAGTGGTGATCTACTGACCCAAAAGACAGCCACTTTGTTAAACACAGAGAGTTGCCAGGAGCCATGTACACCAACGCTATAGGCAGCCCAGGATTGATTTTCACAGGGTTGGTATATATGTTGAAAATCTACCCTGCATCATATGTTGGGTAGATTTCATAGCAGTCTGCCCTATTGTGGAGTTACAGGTAGTTCAATTAGAAGTTTTTGTGCCACAATAAATGGTCTTCGAGTAGGATTCTTAATTCAATGGTAAATAGACTAATATGGGAATAGCGCAAAGACTGACCATCCAACTCGGTCCACCTGCCTCATTTTAGACTGGATTCAAATACAAAGGTAAACAACCGGGTGAACTTACCAGTCCTCGAAGACAGTGCCTTTCCTGTTTCTTGCATGTGTGAGGGAAAAGGTAATAGAGGCAATCGGGATTAGGAGCAGTGTAGGCTGATGTGTAATCATCAGCATACCTTAGTTGGGGGTGAATGGCCTGTTTAGTGTTGTACACTCAATGTCATTTGGTGTTTCATCTTGTGCGTGAGGAAAGTGCTTTTAGAGAATGGAAGTATGACATTTGCCATGTTTTTAAATTACATTGTATTTATGAAATAATTACAATTCTGAAACATTGTGTCCCTTTTTGTAGTGCTCCTCAAAATATAACAGAAGATGTTTGGCAGAAAATTACTTCGAAGTGACCAGGAACCAACTGAGCATTGTCATGCAAACCTACCCTATCGATGCCCACGCTGTGGAGAACACATGAGATTTAGAAGCCTATCATCTTTGAGAGCGCACTTGGAGTTTAGCCATTCATATGAAACTGTAGTGCAGTGCAACACATTCTCATCTGTTCCACAGTCAAGCTTAAAATCTTCTTTTCCAGAGAAATGCTTGCACATGTCCAGCACAACAAAACACCCACACTCTTTTTCAAATCGGAATCTTCACAGTAACTACGCACATTGCAAAAATACTAAAGACCGAAAATCAGAAATACCCCAGGAATGGACAGGTACAGAAACACGGTGCCATTTGGTATCTAATTTATATTCTGAGAACATAAACTTCATCGCTCCATATGAGAATTGCATGGAGGAAAGATTGCAGATTGTTCAGGCTCTGGATGCTTTAACTGAGAAAAGAATAGACCAATTGCCCCATTGTTTGCAGAAGATGGCAGCACAGATAGCAGTGATAAAGGCCGAGTCTGCACAGCTTGCCCAAGAAAAGCAGATGATCCAAGAGCGAGAGCGGGTACTGAGCACACAAGTAAACTTAGCAATAGAAATGATCATCATACTTAAACNAAAACTTGCCAAGACGGAGCAAGAACTACACGCAAGAGAACAGTGAGTATTCTTCCTAAAACAAAGTGCAAAATTCTGATAATTGAATGTTTTGTATCGACTGATCCATTCAGTTGCAATTACCCTAGACAAAGGTGGTGTGATTCTTTTGAATTTGCTTCTATTTCAATGAAAGATACTGTAGCTGTTCAGTGAAAATGAAATGCACAGAAATAAAAATTTTATATTTTGCATGTATTTCTATTGGATAGAATTTTTTTATCCTAAATTTTTCAATTTGATATCCAATTTTAGAGTGCATTATTGAAAAGCAACAAATCAATAATAAAGAAACTTGTTTGATAAAGCAGCTTGACTTTTCAAAATGTGTTAGAGAGTGGGATTAAGTTACTTAAGGTGTAGTGACTATTGTCACACGGGCAAATTCAGCAGCCAATCTGTGCTAGCAGCATTCTACAAACAGAAACAGAAAGAAGTGTTCATTTATTCAAATCTGTAATTAGAATTTAAGATGATGAATGAAGAATATCAGATAAAATGCATATCATTTACTGTATTGACCCAAATGCATTTTAGTTTTCTATATAACATTGGTTCCAATACACAAAATTTAGTTTGTGGAAATCTTTGGTGAGGGAATTACCTAATTATTGATTCACAGAAGACATCTCTGTAACATTATTTTTCAGGGAAGCAGCAGATATAAACCAGTTTCTGCAGGCAGCAGTTCAAAAGGAAGCACGTGGGAAAGTCAAGGTGCAGCGATTCATAGAAGGCCTGCTTCATCGGATAGCTGTGGCAGAAAAACAGTTACAAGAATACCATGAACAACAAGGTCTCTTTGGTATCATAAGTTAGAAAACATAAGTGTTTATATCATTATAAGCATAAGTATACTTTTTCTACAGTAAAGGAGCAGAGCAAATACAGATTACTATACCAGAATCAGGTTAGTAGTAATTTACTTTGATGTACAATATGTAAAAAAATATTTGTATACACTTTGGAGGTAGGGAGGTTTCACTAACTAAGGTCAATGGACAACAACTTGCATTTATATCGCACCCTTCACGCAATCAAATTTTTAATAACATTTTAAAAAATTCCTTTAAAAGTCTGGGTTGTCTGATAAATGGTTTGTATTTTTTAGGTAGGATTTATTCTGCTCTTTAATGATTTAGTGATTTTTTTGTCAAATTGGCATAAAATGCACATTATAACTATAGCATTAGTAATGCAGTTTTGCAACGGTGCCATCGGTTGTCTGTCAGTGCTTTAATATATTCACAATCCGGGTATTCTATAATTGCTAATGTTCAAATGTTACCTGCTTTTGTTTCAGGGAAATTCCTGACCAAGAGCTTTTGCTGAACATTCTCAAGACAAATGTGTTCCAGCCAAAGAGAAAACAGGAACAGCCAGTATTTGGCCTATTATAAACAATTTATTCCTTGTGTAATTGAATTGCTGTCCAATAAGAACATCTCTGCTTTTGTTTAAAACCTGTACTCAACAGAAGAGTACAGACGTATGCAAATGCAGCTCAAGCAGCTATTGAGTTTAACAATGGGATGGGTGAGGACGGCCATTGAATTTGATTACCAACAAGTGGTTGAGAACTTTATGTATAATATGCAGCAATAGATTTCAAAGGGAAATATTTGCATTTCTTTTGTCTGCTCACTGTTTGATCATCTTTCATTAGCTTGATTGGCTGTGATCAGTAATCTTTTCTGTGGTAGTCACTTAATAGGCTGTATCAAAAATATAATTTAATAATTCTTGCCCCATTTTGTTAGTGATTTTGAATAGATCTTAGATTTCTGCGAGGAGCCAACAACCTTAGAATTTCTAAGAGTCTTCATCTGTTCAATTCAGATTAATTATTACTATAAGAAGAAGTTTTTTTTATTTATACACAATTTATTGTAAAAAAGGGTTTTAATTTATTCACCTTACCAGAAAGTAAATGTGAAATCAATTGTACTCACAATAGTTTTAGCAACTCAGCTGCATACCCAATGCGAAACTGAGCCACACAGACCAGGCCACACAGGCCCAAACTCCAATTTCTGTTCAATGGCATGGTATCTACTTTGCAGAAGTCGGGATATTATAGTCCATCTTAGTACTTTTATTATATTATTATTATATTATTTCTCATAAATAAATAATCCTTCCCTTATCACGTTGTCGAGACATCACAAAGTGCTTCACAGGTTACATTGTAAAGTGGGCGAAACGCAGCAGCCTATTGGACACAGCAATGTGCCCACAAACAGCCATGGAATGAATGACCAATTTTATCTGGTGGATTGTTAGCCAGGACACCAGGAGAAACTCCCTTCTCTTTTGAAATAATGCCGTGGGATCTCTAGTGTCCTCCTGAACACGCAGACAAGAACCTCAGTTTAAAGTCTCATTTGAACGATGGCACCTCCAACAATGCAACACCCCCTCCCCAGCACTGCATTGGTGTGTCATTTTAGACTATGTGATTCCAAGTCCCAAAGTGGGGCTTGAACCCACAACCTTCTGACTCAGAGGCAAGAATGCTACCACTGAGCCAGGCTAACAAACCCTTCTGGACTAGAGAAAGGAACAAAATACTCAGGGCTTTCCCACTCTCGATTTCTATCTTGTGATCGATGTCGCCCGACTCCACTCCTTCGTTCACAAATCATGAGAGTGAAGCTCGAGCCGTTCACTCACATGCACTAGTAATATTTTTTAAGGAAAATTAAATATCACATGGGCAGTAACAAATGATTTCTTTCCCGTGCTGTAGATATAGTAGCCATCACTGATGCTGAAAGATTCAATTTGCACTGATTGGTGTAAAATTGCCATAATTTAATCTGCAGTATATTACTGAAACTATAATCTCCACAAATGGTAAACAGAATCAATCCAGACCAGTTCTATAACCAGTTTTGTTATAAAATAAAGGTCCCATTCAGTTTTGCTGTGACCGTATTTTGATTCCTGGATTTCAGTGGGTAATATTTGTCTTCTCACTAAATGTAGTAGCATTTAAGTTGCTGTACATACTCAAGTATCTCTATAATTTGAATTTCTCAAAAAACTGCACCCTCTCATGATGCAAGCACATTAATGCACCAACATACAGTTAATGCCTATTTTTTTAAAATATACATTTAAATGTTATTTAAAACAAATCCCAATTTCACTGGAGCTTTTTCAGTATTTTGAAAGATTCAGTGATTTTCCCAAACATTTAAAAAAGGCTCCAGAATTTTGATAATGTGGATTGATCCACTAAACTCCTACAAAAATTCCTCTCATTGAGCTTTTCAATGCTGTGAAACAGTTTCAGCCTAATGACCTTTCTACTTTAAATCACAAACCTTTAAGATGCATTGAACGAACATAACTTTTGACCATGACCTGAATGAACAGCTAGAAATACTTTATAAAGTGAATTAAATATGATAATTAGGGCATATATTTTGGGATGCATTACTGTTAGCTCATAGGCTTAATCGTATCTGGGCCATTCTATTAAGAGAAAGTTATCTTTCCAAATATAGTGATTTGATCCCATTTGTTTCTATGGAGCTATATTTTGCTCAGATAAAAATTGGTGCAAGCTGTTGTGATTTTTAGTGTTCTGTTTTGTTCTAATGGCTTCAATACTCTCCTATAAGCTACAAAAGCAGTTTTGCTTGAGGCATACCCATTAATCATTCAGTAAGTCTCACAAATGACATTACAAATGGCCCAATAACCAGTCACAAAACTATAGTAGATATGATTTTTCTTTAAAATCAGATTTTTTATGACAACATTTATCATAAAACATTCATCGTACACCCATCAAAGCTTTTAACTGCTATACAATTGTGTTCATTCAAATAAACATCACACAAATGGAAATTGTAACAGCCTGCAGATAAGATGCCAAACTGTCCAGCTAAACACCTACTCCTGCTTCGTTGTGTTAGTATATTATGAAGTCAAAAACTTGTTGACAATTATTTATTATTCTGTTTTGTTAGTTTATAAGGGACATTTTGTTTATAAGGACATTTTGAGACGTCTCGACGACGTGATAAGGCGCTATATCAAATGCAAGAATTATTATTATTGTTTGCCTAGCACTGAAATGACCTGTTAATGTAAGGGTTATAGTATACACTAATGAGGAAAATGTGCAATATGAAAATGTGCCCTTATAATAATGGGATTGAAAATTTTGCTTCTATTTTCCTTCTGTAAGATATTGCTTCTGTAAGATATTGTTATTTATTGCTTCTTTTAGACCCTTATATCAAGTAACTTTTAAAACAAAAGTACCATAAAGGTTACTTTGTCATCAGTAAATCTGGCCGAGCTTAAAAGACTACTGCTAGTGGGCTGCTAGAATTTGGAAAATCCATACGTCAAATGCCAAGTCTAAAGTAGCACTTAAAAGGGAACTTATAAATGGTTTTGTTTTTAAACTTAACCAAGAAAACAACAGCAACAAATATCGCCTTTTAACTTAAACAATGCTGGGTCTAATATGTGGTCATTTCTAACAGAATTTTTGTAAGCTGTGGTGCTGAAAATAACAGTCCAGTAATAAAGCTACTCAAATTTCAAGATGTTTCATGACTAATATTAACTTTAAAATTTAAAAGTTTAAAGTTTGCCTTATTTTGACTTTTCCCTTTTTGTCTTTCACATCCTTCTATCGTTTTAGTTTACCTGTGCTAACCTTTCGATTTTATTACTTGGCCTATATTTTTAAAATTATATTTTAGTCTCTGTCTGAATTTTCTCCACATTGACATTCGCCTTTCTGCTGTTCCATTGGTACCCCACCCAGTGGACATTATTCATGTGTGAACCATGCCAGTAACTGTCAGGAGGCTACTCAGCTGTAGCACAACTGAGCCTCACACATGGAATAAAGGATGCTGAAGAGAGACAAGAAACAGGAACCCTGTCTAGTTTCATCATCCCCAAGCCAAGGAAGACTAACGTAACTTTTCCATGCAGCCTTGGCAAACTAAACTCAGCACAGAACATGTTTCGAACCAGGAAGCTTCTGAATGTGAATGCCCTTTTAAAAGTACTGAATGCATTTATAAAAACGAAATCCTAACAGTTTTGAAATTTGCTTCTCAGTATTAACTTGTTTTTTGTCTTTTAAAAAAATACATTGCCAATGAAGTACTGTTCAATACACACAACAGTATTAAAGTAAATAACAGAAATATCAACACAAACCTGAACCACATATTAGACTCTGCTTTTCTGGAGTCATTTTTGCTCCTATCCACATTCAAATCTGTGTACTTGAAATGATTAAGGGCATAGATTAGTGTACTCATTTTCCTGTAATAATAGCTGCTCTTTTGGTTTGAATAATTTTGCATAATAGTACCTTCTGAAGTCTACTTCACATAAATCCAGCTATTCTCTTGCCCGTTTTGCGTCACAAAATGTTTGTGGCTGTTCAGTTTGCGTCAGCCTTCAATAATTATTTCCGCTCTTCCTGTCTGAAGTAGTTAGAGCATATTATCTTAGTATTATGTTGCACAAGCAATAGCATAAGATTCATTTTATTAGAGAAAAGAGCAATTCTAATTAGGACCTTTGACAACAGAATTTTCAGTCCAGTCCTTGGCTAAAATTGCTGTTACTTGAAATAATAAATAATTTACTTTTACAACAATAACTTGCATTTATGTACTGCCCTTCCTGTGGATAGCGTCGCTGAACACTTAAAAAATTACTTTTAGCATGAAACAAGATGTCTGTATTTTATGGTTGCAAAACATGAAAAGTATAATAAAAAAATGTGTGCAATACCTATGTGTTTGTCTGTGTCGTATTGGTTTTGCACCACCAAAGCATATTGCAAAGATATCTTTAAAATCAGACTTTGTGCCCCCACCACTAATGTGTGCACATTTTGAATGTATTTTCTCCTGCTTTCTTATCTCCATTATATTCTTGATAGCTGCTACTCTGTATTGAGAATTTTTCTCTTTGTCCATCACCAATGTAATTTCACAATAATAATTTTAAAAATCCTTGCATTTGAAATAACACCTTTCACGTCGGGAGGATGTCTGTAACACTTCGCTGGATTTACTGTAAAGTGCAGTGACTATTTATAAGCAAATGGCAGCCAATTTTTGTGCACAGCAGTGTCTCACAAACAATTGTGACGTGATGATCGATTGTATTTGGGGATTGCTAGAACCAACAAAACAACAACAAATTACATTTATACAGTGCCTTTCATGTCAGGAGGACATCCCAAGGCGCTGGGGGTCCCAAGGAACTTTCAAAACTTAACCCACTGAAGAAGGCCACATTTGAATATCACTTGAGCCTGAGTTTCATTATAAATGTGTGGAGTTTCA